TCCACCTTGTTCTCATCATTAACATCACTTTTTCTCTTATCATAAATGCTGCCCTTATTTCTAAGAAGTAATATCATTTTTTACGTATCACAGGCCACACTCAGGCCGAAACCTTCAAACCTTTATTCTTATTCTTGTACACAATTATCTCCAAATGTCACAGTGACCCTGAACACCCTAATGTCCAAACCTTAGATGATTTTAATTTGTTTTTCCTCTCCTTGTCCTCCATCATTAACATCATCAAAAATACTACCCTTATTTTCAAGCCAAGAAGTGATATATTTTTTAAAATAATTGCAGGCCAAAGACACACTCAGGCCAAAACCTTCAAACTTTATTCACTTCAGCTATTATTAGGGTCCAAGCACGCAGTGCGTAGGACCCTATTGCTTTTGCTCGGATTTTTCTTCTTCTTCTTCTTCTTATTCTTTTTCTCCTGAAAAACGTGTTGTGGAGAACAGACCGTAAGGCCTAGAGACACCAAACTTGGTGGCTAGATGTAGTTTGTGTGCATCTCGCCAGGCAACAAAAATGACCCCGATTGGCCAAAGGGGGGCGCTATAGAACATCAAAACACGTTTTGCTTCATAACTTCTACAGCATGATGTGTAGAGACAAAATTCTTTTTGTGGCTGATTCCTTGGGTCAAGCCAAACAACTTTGCAATTTGGACCATTTAGCTCCGCCCACTTAGATTTTTTGCTAATTGGCATAATATGCAAAACCTACTTTTGCGAACTAGTTCTAGGCTTTTCACTCAATCCTCATGTTTCTGGTATCAGAAAATTCAGAAGAGTCTGAACCTCAATAATTATCAAAAAAATCTTGACTTTTATAAACATTATGGCTGCCATATGATAATGAACCCTTCTGAAATAGCTCATAATTCATTTAAAACTCTATAAGTGGAGAATGCTTCTGCCTTAAACATTGAAACTTTACATGCACATTAAGGCCAAGATTCTGTGTTAGCCTATTAATTTTGGTGGGAATACGTCATTAGGGGGCGGGGCAAATGCCAATTAACTGTTTCTCAGCATCCGTGCATCCGATTGAGCTGAAACTTGGCATGTAGCATCTACTTGACAGACTATAGGTGAATCTTGAAGGACAATTTGATTCATTGAAATTTATGGCCGCCATCAGCCAATCAGCATTCAGCAGGCTTTTGACAGGCTTAACATTGACCAATCATGACGAAACTTGAATGGTGTCTACATGTAGCCCCTTTCTAACAACCAGTGAAGTTTCAACAGATTTGGCCACTAGGGGGCGCTATTCATGAAAAATCATATATTATTACATGATATGAACATATTATTACTAATTTTGACCCATGCTCTGTATGAATCTTATGTAGTATATTATGCCAAACAATTTTACCATTGCATGTTTATTATGAAAATGCATAGTTTTTTTGTAATCGTTAACTGTTTGAAAACCATGCTTTTCGAACTAGTCTCTGAGTTTTGATCCAAACTTCTCGAATTTGGTCTAGAAATACTCTGTGGCCTCTCTAGGTAAATAATTATCAAAAAAATATTGACTTTTTCACTCGACCTGGTGTTGCTCCTTCAATATATCACTGCGGCCATGGCATAGCCAGCTTGATTTGCTATAACTCATCAGTCTTTGGTTGTATCATCTCAAAACTTTGAGCAATTACATCTATTGAGACTCAGACAAGGTGTGCAAAATTTGGTCTAGATATGACCTTTAGAGGGCGCCTTAGCTGTCAAAAACCTCAAAAATCATTAAAGATGCTATTACAGTGTTATTACAAAGTCTACAGATAAACACATGATGCCATTTGATTCAGTTCACTGACCTGAATAACTTTGTAATTACATGTCATGTCAAATATTTCACTTCTTGTCTAGTATTTTGAATTATTCCTTTAACAATTACAGCTTATTATACTAAGGTCAAAAGGTCAATCTGAACATAACTCAGTGAACAGCTTTGATCAAGTTCCCTGATCAATTATCATAACATGTGGAGACCTTTTGACCAATTCTAAACCACTTTCAGTGAGCTCCTCTATGCCAAAAGGGCCCCTTATGAGTGCACTGGGTCTCATTATGGCCTGATTATCAAAGCCTTAAACATGGAGAAACAAAACCCCTTGCAAACAGAACTATGACAGATATTTTACCATTACTCATGTATTTTTGACATCTATGTTGATAATCTTTTGCATGTTCTACAAACCTTTGTAGATCAGTCCATAGAAATGTAAACATATGTTGAAAGTAAAATGGTTCATGACAAATGAAGGCCTTGCGATAAACTCAGACTTCATTTCAGCCTCTATGCCTCGAAGGCCCAAACTGCATGAGGCCTGATTAGGCCTATTTGGCTCAAAGTGCATGAGAGCTTCTTGTGCTTATGCGTGCTTGGACCCGCTCATTGCCGCTTGCGGCTATATTTTTGGATTTATTTCCGCTTCATATGTTCTATTCCTTTTTCCCCAATGCGCAGTTTTAATGTTTCATGATATAAACAGACTGCAGCTGTATGTGTGTGAGTCCCATCAAGTCACAGCCTTTGATAAGGCCTCCTTGTCCCAACATCTCAAGGCCACTAACAGACATACACATAGCAACAACTGCTCATCCACAGCTAAAGCCATATAGCACTTCTATGAATAGTTAGAAATGGCTGCACATACACAGCTTATGATTAATTATGATTAGATTGTTTATTACTTTAGTGATCATGAAAAATCTTTCACATTATCAAGAAAAAGAATCTACCTCAGACCACCGAGTGTATTTTTGATAGGAATGGAATTTGCCCTGAAAATCAGTTAACAGCCAGTGCACTAGCCAGCAAACTTGCTATCTGAACATGCTACCCAACTGTTTTGTTTTGCCTTTTTCCATTAAACACCACATTCATTACTTCAGTTCTGTTCTTCAGATTGAAGATTGTTTTTCCAATAAACCTGTATCCATAAAAGTTGGGTTGCTGTGCAAAAAGCAAATAAATAATGATTTGCATATCATTGCATTCTGTTAAACCCTATATGTAATCACCAATAGTAGAAAGACTACATTTCAAGTGTTGAAACTGAGACATTTTATTGTTTTTTGAAAAATATATGGCTATTTTGAATTTAATGCCAGCAACACATTTCAAAAAAGTTTGGACAGGGGACCTGGACCCCAGGAAGAATAGCGGCTATTACAATAGCAGCTAATGGGAACCTGAAAATAAACAAAATAAACAAATCACGGATGCTGGCTTTTGAACTGTCTGCTGATAACAAGCTGGATGGTCCCTCTTCTCTTTAGCCTGGAGTTCGCAGCCCACCTTAAATGAGCTCAGGCCCAGAGAAGGTGGCGGCGTTTCTGGATCCTGTTTATATATGGTTTCCTCTTTGCGTTTTAGAGGTTTAATTAGCATTTGAGTATGCAGCTATGAACTGTGTTCACAATGGTTTTCAGAAGTGTTTCTGAGCCCATGCAGTGCCAGAACACCACAGCCAGTATTACTTTTGGCCTTGTCCCTTACATACAGAGATTTCTCGGGATTCTCTGAATCTTTTAATGATATTATGTACCGTAGATGATGAAACACTAAAGTTCTTTGGTGTTTTACTTTGAGAAACGTTATTCTTGAATTGTTGCTCCATTTGATTGTGCAGTCTTTCACAGAGTAATGAACTCCTCCTCATCTTTACTTCTGAAAGACTCAGAGATGCTCTTTTATAGCCAATCATATTACTGACATGACCTGACCTGGTGTACATTAACCTAATTAGTTGTGAGATGTTCCAGCAGGTGTTTTTTTTTTTTCAGCAGTACACAACTTTACCAGTCTTTTGTTGCCCCCTGTACCAACCTTTCTTTTGAAACATTTTGCTGGCATCAAATTCAAACTGGGCATGTATTTTTCAAAAAACAATACAATTCCGCAGTTTCAGCATCTGAAAGGTAATCTTTGTACAATTTTCAATTAAAGATGGGGTTTAAAAGATTTGCACACTATTGCTATCTGTTTTTTTGTTTTTTTTAACCTTTTGTAGTGTGTTCTAACTTTTCTGGAAAAGGGGTTGCACAACCAAGGCTTGATATTTGAAGCTGTGTTGAACCAGGCACAGCTACAAGCTGCAAGAGACCAAATGACTGTGTATGACCATAACAAAAGTGCCAATCAAAGACACACACATAAGGTTGCCAGTCCAATATGTTTTAGTGTTGTTTGGAGTTTTTTCCTCAGACTAAAATCTGAGTCTAGTGGCAAGTCATTTTAGGGCATTTCTGAGTTGACCAGCAAGTCAAAAATACAGAAAATATCTGCTATGCAATTTATGTTTTTCAATTTGACAGATTAATTGTTACATATCTTAAGGGTTAGACCCAACAAAAAGGACGCAAGACTGCCTGCTCAGCCGCCAGACCAGAAAAAAGAGAAATAAATTCCTAAATAATAAATAGTTTAAAAGAAAAAAAAAACCCAAACACTTTCAGCAAGCCACCAGTGATGGCTCATGACATAAAACAAGAAGGAAAAAGGGAATATAACTTATAGAGTATAATATAACCAAGAGCCAAAATAACAAACAAAAGATCCTAAGAAAAAAAATATTAACTAATCTACCAAAAAAAAGAAAAGAAAATTACAAAACACTATCCTCACTAATGTAACCATAAATGTCAAAAGGGGTCAAATGAAAAGGGTATGCCTCCCCCAAGTTCCTTATATAATGGTATACAAGATATCATCACTGGCCACAGTAAATAATTCTTTAGAAACTAACACAATCAAATGGTCTAGCAACTGGCAGGCAGAGGAGCGGAGCAGCAGAGCAGCACGAGGCTGAATCAAATACCGCTCGCCATGGACTAGTAGAAAGAGACTTATAGCCAGCACCAACTGACACAGCCAATCACATGCCGGGGAAGTCAGAACGTTGGTCATACAGCAACATCAACCAGAGAAAATGTAGCCAGGTACAGAAAGAGAGAACCAAACATGGGACGTAACGTCACGCATCACAGGTTTTTGCCGTGTTAGTGCACTTGTGCATCTTCAGAGACCTCAAAAGCCTAAAGCTCTTCTCGCAGTCTGAGCAGTGATGCGGCTTCTCTCCAGTGTGACTGCGCTGGTGCGCGTGAAGAATGCTCTGCTGATTAAAACTCTTCCCACACTCTGGGCACTGATACGGTTTCTCTCCTGAGTGGATGCGCTGGTGGACTCTGAGAGAACTCTGTTGAGTAAATCTCCTCTCACACTCTGAGCACTGATATGGTTTCACTCCAGTATGGATGCGTTGGTGTACTTCGAGGCTGCTTGGCTGATTAAAACTCTTCCCACACTCTGGGCACTGATAAGGTTTCTCTCCTGAGTGGATGCGCTGGTGGACTTTGAGGCTGCTTGGATGATTAAAACTCTTTCCACACTCCGAACAGGGATACGGTTTAACTCCAGTGTGAACGCGCTGGTGTGTACGGAGATGAGTGGTTCGATTAAAACTCTTCCCGCAGTCTGAACACTGATACGGCTTCTCTCCGGTGTGAATGCGCTGGTGTAGTCGGAGGTGACTCCGTTCATTAAAACTCTTCCCACACTCTGCGCAGTACAGCTTCCCTTCTGTGTGAATGCGCTGGTGGCTTCTTAGAGTCTGAAGAGCTCCAAAACTCTTGTCACACTCTGAGCAGTGATACGGCTTCTCTTTGGTGTGAACGCCCAGGTGAACTTCAAGATGACCCAGTTGTTTAAAACTCCTCCCACACTTTGAACAGCTAAACGGTTTCTCTCCTGTGTGCATGCGCTGGTGGACTTGGAGACTATTTTTTTGAGTAAAACTCTTCCCACACTCTGAGCAGCGATACGGCTTCTCTCCTGTGTGGACGAGTTGGTGTCTTTGGAGATGACCGCTTTGAGCAAAACCCCTCCCACACTCTGAGCACTGATACGGTTTCTCTCCTGTGTGAATAAACTGGTGGACTTCGAGACTTTTCAGCTGATGAAAACTCTTCCCACACTCTGAGCAGGGATACAGCTTCTCTTCAGTGTGGAGTAGTTGGTGTCTTTGGAGATGACTGCGTTGAGCAAAGCCCCTTCCACACGTGGTGCAGTGATATGGTTTCTCTGCCGTGTGGACAACCTGGTGGACTTGAAGACTTCTCCGTTGAGTCTCTTTGTCTGTATTTTCCTCCATTAACCTGCGAGATGTGTTACCACATACAGGACCAGAGCTTGTCTGCCGAGTACTGGAGCTTCTTCTGGAAACCTTATTCTCACATTTAATCAGCCCTGATTTCAGAAGTCTGTATTCCTCTTGGTGGAACCTGTTCTTGTGTTTTTGGTAGATCTGAAGTGTGTAGCTGAGTAAACCTCAGGAAGACTTGCAGCAGGAAGCTATTATTTTCCTGAAAAAGAGATAAAGAAGTGTTAAAGTTGTTGGGATTACTCACCAACATCAACATCATTTAGTAACTTCTTTGCTCATTCTTTGTTCAGGTATGAAAAGCAAAATGACTACATCACACTAAAATAACCTGCTTAAATGTTTAATGTATGAATCTGCAGCTTAACTAAACTGATTGGGTTTCTGCTCATTTCAGCATGTCTGGATGATATTCCACCATCTGAAACTAAAGCTCAGCAAGAACAACATGGAAATACTGGTCCTAACCACAATTCTGTCATATCCTTCAAGGACTGTCTGGTTATCTGCTCATGCGGCAAACCTACATTTCTGGTCTGCAACACTGAACTGAACTGTTTATTTATAGGGTGCCTATAATTTTGAGACTCTCGCCACTCTCTTCTAGCTGCTCTTCCTTTGTAGACCATCAGGCCTTTCAGCTAATCCAGAAAGCAGCAGCACGGCTTAATTTCAATCTTCTCAATTTCACTTGTTTCATGATGTTACTGTGTTCCCCCTACTGGTTTCCTGAAGCCGTGCACATCCGATTTTAAACCCTGATTACTGCCCACAAAAGCCAAAAATGCACCAGCTCCCCCGTTCCTGACGGCGAGAGTTAAAACCTTAGCTTTAAGTATGGCTCGGCTCAACCCGCCATCCTGTAAAATGTGGGGAATACAAGAATTAAGCTGAGCTGGTGGAATAAACTTGCCCTTGCTCCGATTATAGACCAATCTCTTCTAGAATCGTCATGGAGAAATATCTCTGCAGCTTCGCTCCAGACACAGAACTCAAATAACACTCAAAACACCAGGACTGGCAGGAAAAGGCACAAATTATTTTCTGAAGATTAAGGCTTTCCAGCAACACATGTTAATGTTATATGAATAGCTATGATTCAATTCATCTATTACTTAAACAAACTGAAAAACTGGAACACTTTTAAAGGGTTTCAGCAACGTTTTACAATCTAGCAACCATTTCTAACACTGACAAATACCTTTACGAACTTCAGACAGCCTAGCTGCACTCATTCACACCCCTCAGTCGTGTCTGTGGCGTGGAAAAGCCCCTCTCGTAGTAACATTAGCCAAATAATAATCACAAAAAAAATCTTTCTGGCCATTTGAGTTACTAAACACACCTGTCCAACACTGACTTCAGTAGGCTGAAACATAACTACAGTAATGTGGAATAAATGTTTGTACAAGGTCAACTTTGTTCAGCATCAGCTTTTAACAGTTACAGTTTCACAGAGGAGTTGATGCTCCAAGACTCCCAGCTGACAGTGACACTATTTTTGTTACACCAGTATATTTGGGGCATTTTTAAGGTAGGAATAAAGTGGGAACTGCCACACCCTACTTACAATTCTATCCATATATTCAATAATCAACCCCGAAATGGATAGTTATATTTAAGCTGTTCTCCCCTCCAGAACAGTATAACCAACTGCTTATATAGAGTTGTTGTTGTCAAAAAAGGAAACAGAACATATGGTCCTTTTTAAAATGATCTCATCCATCTGGAACTAAGAGAGGAAGGGAGAGGAAGAGAGAGAGGCCCATTCCCTATGGAAGCTTGACCCTTGGACCTTTGGACCAGGGGCCCCCTAACTTAAACATTCCAAACCTGCAAAAACAGATAACACATAGAACTCTGGATACTACACTTCATTCAGAAGAACAAGACCGTGTTGTGGAAAAAGGCAGCTTCCTTTCAAATTCAAAAATTAAAATAAAACTCAAAACACCAGGACTGGCAGGAAAGGGCACAGTTTCTTTTATTAATGATTAAGGCTCTCCGACAAACAGGTGTTAATCTTGAGTTGGCCCAGCAACAACTGACCAACCTGCAAAAATATATACTCTTAAAAATTTATACTCTTTTTTTTGGGCAAAGAGGGGTCAAATTTCTGCGCTGTGTTTGCTTCTCCACTTCAAAAGACATTTTAATGCTTTTATGGTACAAACAGTTCACCAACATGAAACGGTTCACCAACACAGCTCCTTGCCCCAAACTCAAGGCCACACACACACAGTAAGAGCTGCCCATACACAGTTAGAGCCAAACAGCACAACATGAGTGGTTATGATTAAAGTCATCTATTACTAAACAAACTTTGAAAAATCTTTTTCACAAAATCTCCCTCACTTTGCAGGAAGTTGGTCACAAATGCATGAACACATTTTCATTCAGAAGAACCAGCTTCTGTGTTCTGCCAGGTTCTAACATAGACAGACAGAACTGAGGAACGCAAAGACAGCCTGACTGTATCCAGACTAAAGACTGAAACACTGTTTAAAACATCTGAACTACAGCAGAGCAGCTCCTGATTCTCTGAAGATCAGTTAAACACAGAGTAAAGAGTGTGAAAAAGTGTTAGAGCCCCTACTTACCACAGAGCAGCGTCTTCCTCTCCGCCCCCTGCAGCCCTGCACACCGGCGGAGGCGTGGACCGCTGATCACAACAGGATCTTCTTCTCCTGCTCCACCGTTTTGTCTTTGTAGAACCACAGATGAAGATGTAGCGCCCCCACCTGGGCTGCAGGGGGACTCACACCGGAACTCCGACCTGGTTGTTATTTATAGGAAACACGTGTCCTGCCGAAGGGGGTGGTTGGGGTGGGCGGGAAGCGACTGTTTTCTCTGATAATATAAGGTATGCGCGTGCTTGTCTAACTAAAGTTTAAATTTGTTCTTTTATTCCCTTTATATGTTTTAATAGACTCTCATAGACACCTAATAAAGTTAGATCATATATTAAAGCAATGCCATCACGCATGTGATCAATAAACAAAAATGTAATGATGGAGCGGTAAACCCTGATACAGTGAAATCAATAATCGATAAAGGCCACTGTTTGGCATTTATCATTATTAACCCAGCAGGTTTGTGTTAAGCTCCTCAGCACTTACATTACAAATACTTCAAAACTAAAAAACCTAAACTAAAACAGTGCAAGTCTTACATTCAGCTTTATTTTTGGAAAGTGGTGTCAGTTGTTTCAGAGGCTCATCGAACAGTTTTAATGGATTTTAAACATCCGCTCAATGTATTCAAACTCACTTACCTCCTGGACCGTTTTACTGCTTCACTGTCCAATCAGAGACTCTTTCAGCACTCACTAGCCAATCGTAGCTCTCAGGCTGCACTGTGTTCTGTGGTTGCTATGGTGACGCGGACGTCGAATCAGCAGATGCCCGCTGATAATATTAGCCAATGGTAGCGCAGGAAAAGACACTAAGCTGCTATTGGCTGAATCAGGCTGAACGTTCAGCTGAGCTCTACAATAACAGCTGAGCGCGCTTCTGCACTTCACTGATAAAGTAAAGCAACACAGAAATGTAATCTTTTCATGATGTTTAAATAACTGTACTCTTTAATATGCGAGTCATTCTACAGAAACGTCCGTTTTTGTGTCCCTAGCGATTAAGTATTACACTTAAAAAAAACTTGTTAGGGTTACAATTTATTTATATTTCAAAATAAAACAATAATTTATTTAAACAATTCCGCCTTCTTGTGCCTCAATTTAGCAATATTGGTTTTTAAATTAGAATTCCAAGCACCACAGAAGAGCTTGTCCCCACAGTCATGTGTAAAGGCTGAGGCCATATTTTAAAGTAAAAAAAGTTTTTCTGCAATTTTAACTACTATATAAATATATAAATTCAATGACATAAAGAAAACAAATGCGAATTAAATATTATAAATATAATGAAAGTTATGGTCCCCAGGAGTCGTGTCACTGGTGTTACAGCGTAACAAAAAATCTCTTATTTTTAAATTAAAGTCACACTGATGACATCACTCGACTTCCTTTTACCTGTTTTCTGAGGATTTACGAAGAAAAGCACATGGTGAGTCCACTGTGTCTTTCAGTTATCAGAGATTTTCTCATTTAGCTCATGATTTCATATGAAGCTTTTAGCTTAAGTCACTGGTGTGACCGACTTTATTCTGAGGTAATTATGAGAAAATAGAATACAAATTGATTAAATTTCATATTTTAGTGGATATTCCATGATTGACAGCATGTGGTTTGATGCTCTGTAGCAGTTATTTTGTAAAATGCATTTTTAATTAAAATGTCTCTGGTGTTCCTTTATTATGTGTAACACCAATGAGGATCAGTAACACCAGTGAGTCCTATGGAGAGACAGAAAAGTGGACGTTTCTGTAGAACAACCCATGCCTGTTAATCGAAGTTGTTATTTCTTGTAAGTAAAACTCAACTAGAAAACTTCAAAGCACAGTAAATAAAGTAAAATGATGTATAATTGAACAGATGTTGCTGTTAATGCTTCTAGTCAAAGGAACGACTGAAACAGTCCTTAAAAAAGAAACTGTTGATATTAATATAACAGTTATAGAAGCTTTATCAGTATAATTTGATTCCACAGTTTTTAATATACAGTATGGACATCAATCATAAATCAAGCGAGAACTGCATTGAGCTCTGCTGCCCTCTTCAGGAGACGAAAAACCTATACAACATTATGAATGCTACTACTCTGTCAGGCAGACTGTCATAAAAACATGATTTTCTATAGGATATTTGTACGTTATTACATGTCATTACATTCACCTTAGTTTTCATTTAAAAGTAATGAAGAAAATTAAAACCCAGTTTATTAATCTGCGTTGTGTATGATTAGTGATGACTATAACAATTATTAATCATACACTATATGGACAAAAATATTGAGACACACTAATTTCAGGTGTTTCACTTAGTCCTGCCACACAGCAGAGCCGCAGAGTGCCGATGCACATAGTGCATAAAAGTCTCCAACGCTCTACTGATCAATAACTGCAGAGTTCAAACCTCCTCTGGCATCAACATCAGCACAAAAACTGCGCCAGTAGCTTCATGGCAGTGTTTCCATGACCGAGCAGCTGCATGAAGCCTTACATCGCCAAGCACAATGCCAAGCGTTGGCTGAAGTGGTGTGAAGCCCTGCCACTGGACTCTGGAGCAGTGGAAACACATTCTGTGGAGTGACAAATCAGCTTCTCTATCTGTCAGTCTGATGGACGAGTCTGGGTTTGGCGAATGCCAGGAGAACGTTACCTACCTGGCTGCACTGTGCCAGCTGTAGAGTTTGGTGGAGGAGGGATGATGATATGGGGTTGTTTTTCAGGGGTTGATCTAGAACCCTTAGTTACAGTGAAGGGAATCTTAATGCTCCAGCAGAACAAGACATTCTGGCCAATTGTAGCTTCCAACTTTGTGGGAACAGCTTGGGGAAGAACCTTTCCTGTTCCAGCAGGACTGAGCGCCAGTGCGCAAAGCAAGGTCCATGCAAGCTGACTGAAAGTCAATCATGCACAACTAAAGAGGCTTTGATTTGTATGGAAAAGAGCTACTGAAAAAAATCACCCTTAGTTCTGACTGGTTCAAGGAATCTTTTGACATCAGTGTCTTACAAATTAGCAAAATTAGCAAAAATGTACCACAGTCCAAACTTGTGTGCACTCAATCTTTTTCATGATTCTAAACAGTTTCTGTCTGCCTGCTGCTAAGAATCCTGAACCCAGAACGATATTACCTTTACCATATTTCATATAGTAAGCTCTCCAAACAAATAATTAGTCACACACATTACTTCATTTCTAATACTTGATTACAGATCTCCTTACCTTAATAACAGTGGTAATACTGTCAGGTGAAGACTGCCAGTCTCTTGAGATAGGTCCTGTCCATTTTAGTCCACTGTTCTACCAACTGGGTACACATGATTTTGAGTGTGCCCATTTTGGCAGTCTGTCTGCTGTTCCAGATTAAGAACTAGAAATGAGGTTTGGTGATTTTGCTGATGAAACTGTTCCAATGTCCCATCCTGTCTGTTGAACCAGTTACATACAGACGGCCTACAAGTGTCGTCTGCAATGTGGGAACACCAGTGTTGTTTGTTGCTCAGAAATGAAGCATAACGTTAGTGGAGCAGTGGATTTAAATGGACAGGAACTCTCAAGAGATCAGTGTAATTATTACCTGAGAGGATTGTCGATGTTGTGAAGACAACGGAACATTTCACTAAATGTAACCAAGTAGAAAGGACGTTACACATGTGGAGATCTTATTAGGCAGCAGTATCTGTATTTTCTAGACATTGTGATCAGAGATCAGTCCAAAGAATTCACCAGAGAATCTTTTTCCTCTTGCTCTCAGAGCGTGTAAGTGCTGACTGGCACAGTCCAGGCTTGTTGTCATAAGCCTTTTATTTAGGAGTGGCTTGGATCTACCACAGATAGTCAGTCACAGTGGTTCTCTCTTTACGTCTGCTTCTTCCGTTGGAGCGGCCCTTGAGTTCATTTCCCTGAACAAAAGCCCTTGTCATCGGTTACTGAGTTTGGTCAGGCATCCAAGGCCTAAAAAGAATCCAAATTTGACTTTTGCAGAGCCAAAGTCTTAAAGAGAACCTTTTATGCTCAATTTTTGTGTTCATAATTTCATTTGTGGGGTCTACTAGAAAAGATTTACATGCTTCAGTGTTACATTTCTATTCACCCTCTGTCTGAATGAGCCCAGTGTGCTCTGACTGGTCAGCTCATCTACTCTGCTCTGATTGGTCGGCCTCCAAAGCAGTTCCACCCCTCCAGGTTCCGCCCCTGTCCTGCAGTCTGCAGATAGACCTTTCTCTCCTGAGCAGCTGTAAACTCTGCTGTGGCTGTTTCTCCAGCGGCATGGGTTCTGCCGTATCAGTTTGATCCAGAGTGGATCCTGAAAGTCCGGTCAGCATCTCTCCACACACTACAGCACTAAACACACTCTTCCTCCTCCAGTAGCCGCTGTGCACTGTGTGAGGGGGCGGAGCTCGCCGGTAGGCGGGCAGTAACGACCGTGTTACGAGACTGAGTCATCCTGTAACAAAGGAAAAGGGCTGGAATTCCAACGAGGCGTTTCAGGCAGCTGAGAAAAGTGGGTTCTGTGGGAAAGAGTTTCTCCCTCTGGAGGGAACGCTGAGCTTTGGGACTTTGCAGAACGTTTACATTACGAAAAGATACAACCCACTAAAGGAAAGAGAATAACTGGAAAAGCCTAACAGCTCCCCTTTAAGACTTTTGTAAATGAGACATTTCACCTCTTTTTTTAGGAGAAATTCATAAAAGACTCATAAAAGATAAAAAATGTTTTTAGTGGGTTATAGTGTGTTGACAGAGAACTAAAATAAAACGTCTGCGCTAACAGCAGTAAAGAAAATGTTCGACATTCAAGTGTCATAAATGATTACCTCCTTCTTAATGCATTTGTGTGTATTTAATTTTGAATGTCTGAAACTCTTCCCACAGTCTGAGCAGTAATATGGTTTCTCTCCTGTGTGGATGCGCAGGTGGACTTGTAGATTATTCTGACGGTTAAAACTCTTTCCACACTCTGAGCACTGATACGGTTTCTCTCCTGTGTGAATGCGCTGATGTCTTTGGAGATGACTTAGTTGCTTAAAACTCTTTTCACACCCTGAGCACTGATACGGTCTCTCTCCTGTGTGAATGTGTCGATGCGCTTTGAGATGACACAGTTGAATAAATCTCTTCCCACAATCGGAGCAACGATAACGTCTCTCCTTACATTTCTGTATATGTCCATGAGATGTGTTTGAGTTGAGAGCACCAGAAGATGTATGCTGAGCACTAAAGCTACTTGTGGAGGGCATATTCTCATATTTAATCTCTACTGACTTCAGCAGTGTAACATTCATCTCAGTGGCAACTTCTGATGTATTGGTGCAGGTAAATTTGAACTGTGTTGGGAGTTGATTACTAGGAGGAGGAGGAAAAGACTTGCAACAAGAAGCCAGTCCTTTCTGAAACAGAAAGAAAAAAACATACTCAAAAAACGTAAAACTACGAAATGCAACAGCATTGTTGGATTGTATCTGATGTACACAAATGTTGAATTCATTCATAGAGTTCATTTACATCCCAAATACATAATAAAATAAAAATCATGATCAATAAACATTGTAGTTCTGTATCTGATGTTATTTATTTGACAGTCAGTTTCACATTCACTCAGGATCCTTTAGCAAAAAGCAGAAACTGATTTCTATATCACATCCAAACAAGTCAATTTATGAATTTGCCAGAAATCATGGACACATTTTAGAGCAGGGGTGCCCAATCTTAGTCCTGGAGAGTTCAGATCCAACCCACCCGGCTCTAATATTCAGATGCCCCTGAAGGTCGCTGTTATGTGGACCAGATGTGGGTTTGGAGCTAAACTGTGCAGGATGGTAGATCTCCATGACCAGGATTGGACATTCCAGTTCTAGAGTCTTTTTAAAGACTAATTGAAGCAAACATGATGAACCTGGGCTCATTCAGTTGAACCAAAACAGAGTTTGAATGCTTACGAAAATTAGACATTTCAGTTTTCTTTCAAAATAAATTAGCAATAACTTGTCAGTTGTGGGTTAATGTGTGTACAGTTTGAAGCTTACGAGTTTGAATGCTTACGAAAATTAGACATTTCAGTTTTCTTTCAAAATAAATTAGCAATAACTTGTCAGTTGTGGGTTAATGTGTGTACAGTTTGTGACACTCAAGAGTCATAAATTACCTCCGTCTTAACGCATTTGTGCGCCTTCGTATTTGAATGTCGGAAACTGATCCCGCAGTCCGAGCAGTAATACGGCTTCTCTCCGGTGTGGATGCGCTGGTGGACATGTAGATTACTCCGACGGTTAAAACTCCGTCCACACTCTGAGCACTGATACGGTTTCTCTCCTGTGTGAATGAGCTGATGAAGGTTCAGAGTAATCTGCTGGGTAAAACTCTTGCCACACTCTGAGCAGTAATACGGTTTCTCTCCTGTATGAATGCGCTCGTGTGTTTGAAGATTACGTTTGTTATTAAATGTTTTTCCGCAGCATAAACAATAAAACGGTTTCTCTCCTGTGTGAATGCGCTGGTGTCTCTGGAGATGACAAAGTCGAGTAAAACTCTTTCCACACTCAGAGCAGTGATACACTTTCTCTCCAGTGTGGATGCGCTGGTGTAGCTTTAGAGTTCCCTTTTGCGTAAAACTCTTTCCGCACTCTGTGCACTGATGCGGTCTCTCTCCTGTGTGAATGCGCTGGTGTCTTTGGAGATCATGCAGTTGAGTAAATCTCTTCCCGCACTCAGAGCAGTGGTGACGTCTCTCCTTGCTTATGTTTTTTGGTATTTCACTGCGAGATGTGTTCATGCAAAGGGTGCCAAAGGATGTTTGAGGAATACTGGAGCTACCTGTGGACGCCATATTCTCACATTTACTCTTTGCGGATTTCAACAGTGACCACTCCTGATGTGTTTGTGCAGCTAAATCTGAACGGTGAAAGTGATCACTAGGAGCAGGAACAAGAAGCCATTCCTTTCTGAAAGAGAAAGAAAGAAACAAAATTAAAAGGATATTCAGAAATATGACAGCATTGTACCTGACAACTTATTTAGGTCTTAGTACTAGATACCTTAAATTCTTCAAAAATGCCTGGTGACAGAATAATTTAATATGGCACTAAATAGACGGGATCTGACTGGGGATAAAGGCTCCCATGCCTTCCTCGCTATATGACAGCTCAGATATTCCATCTTCAAATCAGTGACTGAAGCACAGGATTGTTATAGGATTGTTATGCAAGCGTCATTCAGTCAAGTATGGATATCAAAAACAATGAATTTGAAGATATCCTTTCAAAAGCATTCTCTGGATTGAATTATGACCTTGCTCATTCAAAAGACGCAACCCAAAGATGGGGGAATATTCCAATACAGACCAATTTATTTATTTTTGCAGTTAAATAAAAACAGCTCAAGTCTGATTCTAGACTAAATACCCTAACTGGGCGTTACAGATTTCTCTATAACAGACTAATGAATAATTTACATTCAGGTCTGGGAAAGACAAAATAACCTGGTCCAACACCAAAACCAGCTTGGACAGGATGGATGACCTGCTAAACCATCAAACCCAAAATGAAAACATGCCCTGTGTTGGTCAGGTTTTAAGAACATGCTTGGGCTGGCACAAATAATCTCAGTACTCGAGTATTCATTTGGCACTTTAGTATTGATTTAGTATTTATTCAGAAGGTTGTTACAACATTAAGGCATGAAAAGTTTAAGAAATCATCTCAACAATGTTAGTGCAGTGATCCTTACCAGAGTACTTGGCTACATGCCTTACATTACAGCTGACTTCATGTCATTTATCACTCATATAAGTTACTGATGCATCGTCATTGAATACTGGATATAACAGTTAAAACACAAGAGTAAAGAGTGTCAAAAGTGTTACAGCCCCTACATACCATACATCAGCTCCTGCTCCTCCTCCTCTTCTTCTCCACATTACTGTCTTTGGAAAACCACAATTTTAGAAGTAGCGCCCCCACCTGGGCTGCAGGGGAAACACTGTAACTCAGTGGTTACGGTGGATATGTGTGTGGATCGGTTGTTTAAATCGCACCCGTATTCCGGCGTTTGGGGGGTGGGGGGTTGCAGTGATTCAAAAAGGTGCCACATTACATAACCTTGCTGAAAACCTCATAGAACCCATTAAAAGCCCCTGTTGGTTCCTGATGGTGTCCGATAGTCTCTAATGGTATTTTTTGTTTTCCTGATGGGTTGATATCACAGTGTAAAGGACTCAGTGTAATATTATAATTCCTAATCTAATGGTCTTTTTACAACAGTGAAAATTTGACATTTTCCACTATTCCCTTTACATCCCTGCTGACAAAGACCATTAGAACCATTAGGATTGAAACCTGATGGTTTTACTTTCTAATAGAAATTGGTTTAATACTTATCATTAGAGAGCACTAGTTTCTTGTAGGGCACCTTTAGATCTCATTAGGAAACCATCAAATGCATTTAGAATCAGAACACCTGTTAAATGAGCTTTACTTAACCATTAGAGCCATTTACACCGTGATATCAAGCCATCAGCAAAACACAGAATACCATTAGTGACTGTTGGACACCATCAGGAACCAGCAGAAGCTTTTAAAGTCGTCATGCTTAGAGAAAGAAGTCATAATACTTGAAGAAAAATGTCGTATTATTTCGAGAAAAAAATCGTAATATTTTGAGAATAAAGTCGTTATATTTCGGGGAAAAGTCATAATATTTCGAGAATAATGTCATAATATTTTGAGGAAAAAGTCGTAATATCTGGAGGATAAAGTGGGCTATCTGTAGGGGGGCTAACTGTAGGGGGGCTGAGCTCCACTCACTCCTGTCTCTCTGTGGATCATTTTGATCATCATTCTCACTGTCTGTGAAACTTCATGCCCTCTTTGAATGGGGGGAGATGGAGCCCCGATAGCCGTGTAGACGACCCTGCCTGCGATTCTCCTTCAACAACACAGACAGACAGTTTCCTCCGAGTCCGTCTGGCTCTTTATTCTAGATAAACACAGTTTCCTGCTCAGCCGTTTCAGCCGGTTCTTATCCTAATAACAGGCTGGTGCTGATGTGCAGGAGAGACAGGGAGACTGAGTGTTTCTTTATGGGTGAATCGATATGAAAGTAGAACTCCACCAACTCACCGCCCCTCATTTAACACGAGGAGGTGCTGCTTCCCTTCGCAAAGCCTTTGGCCACAATATTGACCTTTCCTGGTATTAATGCCACTGTAATGTCGGAATTCTACGACTTTTAACGAACAATTACAACTTTTTTTTCTGGAATTATTACGGCTTTTTCTCAAATATTACGACTTTTTTCTTGAAGCCTACTGTTTTTATTTTTATTAACAGTGGCCCTGAAACGCCGCCGTATAAAACTGCACATAGTAAATGTTTATCAAAGCTGCACAGACCCTGACATTGATTTGTTGCCCGCTGCCCAATCAGTGACTGAGCAGCAAGAACAATCGTAGCTCAGGCTGCGCTGTGTTCTGTGGTTGCTAGGGTGATGCGAACGTCCAATAAGGGATTGCTCTCTGATAATATTAGCCAATCGTAGCGCAGGAAACGATACAGGGCCGCTATTGGCTGAATATTCTTCTTCATCAGCCGAGCTCTACAATAACACAGCTGAGTAGGTTTCTGCAGCTCATTGATAACGAAACATGAATATTATTTTTAATGATGTGCAAATAATTTTACTCTTTCATCTGTCTGTTAACTGACGTTGTTGGCATTTAATGTAGCGAAAAGTAACTAGAAAACTTTGAAATACAGTAAATACAGTAGAAATTAGTACATAGTGTAAAATTAGGCTGAGCTGTTAGGCAGTAACGCTTCCAGCCAAGGAAACGACAGCAATGATCCTTAAAATAAGAAATTAATGATATTCATGTATCAGTTAGATCAGTATTACTCTACTTTATAGTTTCCACATAATGTATGAAAACCTATCACAATATGAAATGAACAGAGCTGCACTGAGTGCTAATGCTCTTTTCCAGAGGGACAAAAAACAATACACAGCAATACTAAAGCTGCTAAATAATATTTATCTGTGTTGTGTTTCAGCAGCAAAGACTGTAACAATTATTAACCAGGCTCCTTACAATTAAAGTACATTTTGAGGGAAACAGTTACAACAGAAAGTAATAATACAGCATTTTGAACATCTTTTGTTAATAAAGATAATTCCACAGTGTCAATTTATTATTGTCGCATTTATTCAAAGAACTTATCTGGCAAGAAAGTCGTTACTCAACATTAGCTTTGCGCTTTGTGAAGAAGAAATCATTCCGTACTGTGCTTTGCAGTAGGAGCCGTGACTGATATGACAGAAACCATCGCAATAGCTTTGCAACTGAGTGGTGCGAGTTTAGTTTATCATTAAATATTTCAAAAACATCAAGCTGATTGTGAGCTGGAGAGTCCAGAGGATTCCAACATCACAAATCAAACATCACAAATACAGTCGGCAATCCACATCACAACCCACTCGATGTTTCTGAAATATTCAACAAGCTTTGTTAAAACTGCTGGTTTAAAGCTTTTTGATTTTAAATATTAACACTATCTAAAAGATACTTCGTGGGAAGATCATTAAAGCCGTGCATTAGTGATTTTAACATAACTAAGAGGACCTTTTGAAATGCCAGCTCACTGGATGTCAGTGAGGCACAACTAAAGAGGCTTTGGTTTGTGTGGAAAAGAGCTACTGACGAAAGTTCTGCCTTAATTCTTTTCAGTTCAAAGGATCTTTTGACCTTTGTGTCTTCCAATTTTTTGTGTCTTTCAATACTTAGGTCCAACCTAGGAAACCAAAGATCTCTTAATCAGAATGACCGTGATTGTCCTTTATTTTACAGTGAATACCACGATCATGTAGCTCCCTATATCGAAATAGATCAACGCGCTCCTGGAGGGTCAGTGTCCAGCACATTTTTGAGGCTTCCCTACTCAAACACACTCACTAAATCGGCCAATTAGCAGACAGGTGTGATTTAATCAGGCGTGTTTGAATTGGTAAGTCACTGTGCTGGACACCAACCTTCCAGTTGTGGAACCCTAAATAAACCAAATTAGTAAACAGTCCCTTCAAAGTCTCCACCATCTCAGTCACAAGGGCATGGCAATGTTAGTCACGGTTGCAGTCATCTCACCTTGTACAAAGGACAACACAAACAACCCATGGTGATAACAAGTCTCCGTCCACTTAACTGGCACTATTTCTGTCATCAGGACATTTAATCAGTAGAACACAGAGGGAGTGTGTTATGGCGAAATAACATCACGGCTGTGATTTGGTCGCCGTAGATCATCACAGCCGTGATGTTATTGGCGATAACACACTCCTCAAGTGTTCTATTGCTTTAATACAACAGTTAAATAAATACAGTAATAAATTAATAAACTGGGCCGTGAACGCGGCGTTTAATATGTTTTAATGTTCGCAGTTCCTTCACCAAATTATAGTTCCTTAATGAGCAGCTTGTTGCTACGTCAGAGTAACGAGCTCCGCCCACACAGACCAACTGACAGTTTGGGAATTTAGTGTCGTCTCATCTTCAGAGTCTGACCAAATCGGCTGTCGGTCAAATGTGATCTTAAAAGTGTCCGTTTTCTGTTTGTGGCAAAGTAAGAAGTAAAAACGTTCAAATGTCTTGAGCGTCTCCTACAGCTGTCAAAGTCGTTGCTTAGCAACAGCGTCTCAGCGATAGTGTTTGTGAAGATTAGAACGCTTCTCAACCAATCATCTTGCGTGGCCGTAACTAACTGTTGTATAACATGCAATAAATTGTATCTTAAGAGTAAGTGCCACCTCCAGACGGCGCGTCATCCAACAACTCTTCCTGACAGATTCAGTTCCATCAAGATCAGTCAAGTTGAACAAATTCAAATTCTCCATTGATGTTCTGTAAGGTTCAAGACCCGACTCTGGCCAGCCAACCCCAACATCGTCTTGGCTGTGTGCTCTGGGTTGTTGTTGTGTTAAAGTTATGTGCACTCTAGAGCAGGTTTGTTTTAGAACATCTCTGTATTCAGCTGCATTCATCCTTTCCTTAATTCTGATCTCTACCCACTGCTACGTAGAGTTCCCACAGGATGAGTTTATCATTAAGGAGGTTCAGCTCACAGGACAAAAAAAAAAAAAAGTAACATGCATAATTTCTTTTCTATTACGTGGCTATGCATCCCCTTGCCTTAAGTACAGTGCCAGTCCTGTCAGGTAGGAATTACACCTGTCTCTTGATATAGTTTCTGTCCACTGTAGTCCACTCCTCCACAAACCTGATGCACATTCCGGCCAGAGTTCCTTTTAGTTAGGAGTGGTTTGTCTTTGCCACTTTACAGTCTAAAGGCCTAAGTGTGTCTGACATGGTGGTCCTTTTGTGCGCATGTCCATTTGCATTGTGACCACCTCCCTGACCAAACGCCCTTCCCTCTTGGTTACGAGTTAGCCAGGCATCAAAGGTCTAGAAAAAAAGTCCTGTTGTTCCACAACAACTGATTTCACTGTGCTTCTTGAAGAGTCCAAGGCTTTGGTAAAGGTTATGTACCCTTGTCCAGATCTATGCCTCAGCACAGTTTGACTGCAGAAGTCAAATGAGAGTTGTATAAATTTATCATTTTTTGCTTGGTTTTTGGTCTGAAACACACTGTGCACTTCATACATACTCATTTATACATTATGTTCAATAAACTCAATTTGTGAATTTGCCACAAATTGTGAACTCCAATTTCTAGAGCAATCCTGGTCCTAGAGATCAAACACATCTGATCCAGCTTACGAAGGCCTTCAAAGGCATCTGAATATCAGAGACAGGTGTGTTAGATCAGAACTCTCCAGGAGCAGGACTAGGCTCCCCTGTTCTGGAGGCATTTCAAGGTCGGTCAAAGCAAACAATTGCTGACCTGAGCTCATTTTGCCGAGTCAAAACCGAGTTTTTCACCTGTGGGTTACTGTGTGCGACACTCAAGTGTCATAAATGATCACCTCCGTCTTAGCGCATTTGTGCGCCTTTGTGTTTGAATGTCTGAAACTGATCCCGCAGTCCGAGCAGTAATACGGTTTCTCTCCGGTGTGGATGCGCTGGTGGACTTGTAGATTACTCTGACGGTTAAAACTCCGTCCACACTCCGAGCACTGGTACGGTTTCTCTCCTGTGTGAATGAGGTGGTGTACGTTGAGAGTACTCTGTTGATTAAAACTCTTTCCGCACTCCGAGCACTGATAGGGTCTCTCTCCGGTGTGAATGCGCTCATGTGTTTGGAGATTACGCTGGTCACTGAAACTTTTCCCACAGTGTAAACAGTAATACGGTTTCTCTCCAGTGTGGATGCGCTGGTGTCTTTGGAGATGACACAGCTGAGTGAATCTCTTCCCGCACTCGGAGCAGTGGTGACGTCTTTGTTTGCTTGGATTTTTCTGTGTCCGTCTGCGGGACGCGTTCTTGCGGAGAGAACCAGAGGATATTTGCTGAGTATCGGAGCTACTTGCGGACGCCATATTCTCACCTTCAATCTCCGCTGACATTTGTCTCCGCGGCAACTCCTGATGTGTTTGTCGAGGCAAATTTGAAGTATTTTGGGAAGTGAACGGGAGAAGACTTGCAACAAGAAGTCATTCTTTTCTGAAAGAGAAACGAAAAACAAAGAGAAAGAATATCCAAAAACGTGACATGAAACAATGCTATGACAGTACTGTTGGAGGTTCTATGTGAAAAAAGATGATTCTTCAAGGAATTTTTAATAAAGACAATGGATCTATATAGATCCATGGACATTCAAAGAACCCTTTGCATGCTGAAATCCTTCTTTTCATGGTGAAATCATTCTTCAGACTGGTGGAAAGGGTTTTTCTGTTGTATACGAGCTTGACAGCGCAACTGCAGAAGAATGATTTTGGTGCTATATATAACAATTTTCAAAAAGGTTCTGTATAGAACCGTACAGAACAATCTGAATCCATTAATTCAATAATCCCAAGAACAATTCCACCCTGCAAAGAACCATTTAAACACGCGAATCATTCTTTGAGAGTTCATGTTGCAATATAGAATCGGGAGCCAGGATGTTTTTATTTGATAGTTTAGCTCGGGAGTGCTAAATCCAGCTGCTGGAGATCTACCACACTGAAGAGTTCAGATCCAACACACCAGGCTCTATTTTAATAACATTATTCTATTTTTTTAAACACAGTTTTAATTTTACATAAGTTTAGTGTCACTTCATCTTTGAAAAAGAATAACAGAGAAATGCGCTCATTGTTTCAAACTGAATTTGCTTCCTTAACTTGCGTTACAGCAGGAGTGACCAGTCCAGCTCCTGAGATCCTGCAGAGTTCAGATCCACACCTGTCTCTGATATTTAGACGCCCCTGAGCGCCGTCATTACCTGATCAGGTGTGTTAGATTAGGGTTGGAGCTGAACTCTGCAGGGTGGTAGATTTAAAGGACTACGACTAGGAGCGCCTGGGTTAGCTAGTCTACCAGGACCAACCTGGTCATGCTGGTCTACCAGCTGAAGTCAGTTGGAGCTGACCAATCAGTTTTTTCCCTCAACAAGGTCTTTAATTGCAATGAACATGTTATAGCTATTCAGATTTTAAAATGGGATTATATAAATAATCTCTGGATAAGATCATTAAATACGGCAGTATATTAGAATCTATTAACCCCTTAAATGTCCAGGGTCCAAAGTTTTATAACCTTTTTATAAAATAATAGTAAAGTTTTATTACCTCTTCTATAATCTAAGAATAACTCAGTTCAGGCCAGTTTGTATTGAAGTGCCTGTAGTTACCGAATAATCAGCCTCAGTATGTAATAAGCCTGAGATTTTACGGGGTTAACCAGTTATTCAAGTATCTTTGTGAACATCCTAAATGAAGCATCATCAAAACATGCATATTTATCAAAATAGAAAACTAACGATTATCAATATTATTATTATCAGGTGTTACAGACGTAACTGCTTCTGTGAATTTATCAGCCTTCAGAATTCTCCCTAAACAAACCAATTACGTTAAACTCAGTTAAACACACAGTTAGGAATGTGAAAAAGTGTTAGAGTCCCTACTTACAATAGAGCAGCTCCTGTTTCTTCTTCTTCTTCGCCTTATTATTTAACCACAGTTATAGATCTACTGCCCCCACCTGGGCTGCAGGGGGGATTCACACTAGACTCTGTGATCAAGGCAGATCTGGAGATCTTCCATATGCAGAGCCCTCATACATACACACACACACACACACACACATACACACACACACACACACACACACACAATTAAGGCAAAAAATTAATGCAAAGTTTTGAGGAGAGTTCAGCTCCAACCCTTCATTTACAGTGTAGCCGAGAGGCACAGGAAGAGTAAAAAAACACATAACTAAGATTGTTTAAATAAAGATTCCAAAGTAAAGATAAATAAAAGATAATAAAAGACAAGGTTTAAAAATATTAAAGAAATACACAACAAAACATGTATGTAATAATAAGAAACAATAAAACAGTAATAGAAAACAATAAAATATGAGTATGTTGTTATTATTATTAAAATATATTATTAGAAACAATAATAGTACATAAAGTGAAAAGATAAAAAAAATTAACATAAATAAAATATTCAACTAAAATAGTTACAAACAGAACTAAAATAATTCGAAAGTAAAATTTTGGGAGCAAGTATAAAAAAACCCTGGGAGAAACGAGCGAGACGAGCTTTAGAGAACCTTGTTCCGTGTTCCGTGTTCCAGCTCACTGGTGCAGCACAGCTAAAGGCTCAGTAAAAACTCGGGGAACCTCAGTGAAATAAACTCATCTGGGTTTTGTGACGTGTGTCCTTCACAGTGAGCGTGGAGGTCATATACTCTGGCATCTGACCGACGAGAGCCTCATAGAGAAACAGTGGCCAGTGTGTTTCCCTCCTTACAGACAGAGATGACCATCCCTCTGTCTCATACACGGTGATGAGTCTCAGGGCAGAGGGATGAAGGGGGTCCAGAGCGGTCAGAGAGCTCGCTGAGGCGCTTCTGTACAGCACATCACCGAAATCAAGAGCTCACAGGAAAGCTGCCTCCACAGCGGTTTTCCTGCTGCGCATCGGGAAACAAGATTAGTGTCTGTGAAAGAATCCGAGCTTCTGCCTCAGTTTGTTTGTAAGTTACTGATGTAAGTTTTAAAGTCAAGTTTCTTATCAAGCCAGATGCAGAAGTATTACACTCATTTACTCCTTCAGTTATGGATCCATGCAGAGTAAAACATTTAATGTATCATTTTCAATATGAGCAGGTCTGGAAAACAGCATGAACTTAGTTTTGTCTGTATTTAGAGCTAAATCTGTGGCGACTCTGCAGTTTTTCAAAGCTCCTTTGATCCCAAACTTCGCTTTTATTCTTTTTTTTTAAAGATGGAGTGCAACTAAATTAATCGTGTTGAATTTATATTTTTAAAATTACATTATTAAAATTCATTAATTTATAGCTACACATTTTCTGATATAGTGTAGACAACAACAGTAGCAACAGAGCCAAGCCTAGAGATATATAGACACTGTGGAATCATTTTCTCATAGAGCTCCTAAACTCTGGAACACGGATCGGCTCTCTATAGAACCAAAATGAGGAGATCTGTAAATGCAGTAATCAGTCTAACAGAGATCAGAGCCGTCCAGGATTCGGTTCTCTGTGGTTCTTTATGGATGTGAAAGCTGCGCAACAAACAAGCAAGATAAGAAAAATATAGATGCCTTTGAACGTTGATGTTGGTAAAGACCGTTGAGAGAACCTCAAACAGCAAAGAGAACAAACGAAAGGTTCCTCGACCAAATCAGGCCTCTCCTCTCACTCAAAACCCAGAGAACCAAACTGAAGCTCTTACTTTGGACACGTTCTGAGAAGAACCAGCTCAGTGGAAAAACTCAGCTCAGAACAGTTGAAGGTAAAAGAGGACGAGCAGTTTCAAGATGGATGGAGATGATCAGAGGAATCATTCAGAGATCTGAATACGGAAGATAACACTGTTCATACGGTCACCAGGGGTCGGAAACAACTGGACGGCACTTAATAATAAAACACTGTATAAATGTATTCAATGTTTAATTTAAAAAGCGAGTAACTGGTTGGATGAAAAGTTTGAGTTCATTGAACTTCAAATAAGAAGTTGGTAAAATCCAACCAACCTTGGTATGTAAATTAGCAGTAGATCAATAACAGGACGTTCTTTAATATAAAACATAGCTTTATTGGACACGAATGACAACAAAGACATTTCCAAACATATTTCATATTTTGTAACACACACTCTCATTTTTGGTTTTCAGGAGGATGAAAAGGATGTCAGAGTAAATTAATCGTGAGCTGTTAATGAAATGATGATAAACTGACGTGGATCCTTTTATCTTCACAGTGATATCACAGTATTTTCTGCACTGAATGTGTTGTTAGGTAAAAATCTCACATCTTTTCATTGTTCTAATCTGTTTAAACACAAATCGTAACGACTTCTGTTTGACGTTGTTATCCTCGATGTCTCGCTCCTTCATTTTTCCGTCTCTACCTGCCGCATCAGGTCACAGGCGGGTTATCACAAACACACACCCGCTAGAACTGTGACAGGCTGAAAAACACTGATTAATCATTCTTAAGGCAGCAAAACCAGCTTCAGAAACAAAGAACCAACTCGGCTATGAGTGCAATATATTTTAAAGAAAGTAAATTCGCATTGTAAATCTTTAATATGACGCCACGCAAAACATGAATAACATGATTAACATATAACACCTTATACTGAAAAACAAACACCTTATACTGAAAAACAAATACCTTGTACTGAAAAACAAAGAAGTCACAGTACAGCAAGATCAAGACCTGCAAAGCCATGGAATTCAATAGTAAAGCAAACGCGACAAATGTTGAACATTTATTTTGTTGGTTGATACTTAAACTTCAGCGTCACTCAGATTTACGTGACGGTGGACCTTCATGAAATTCCGGCCTTAACTTTTGAACATGAAGCGAAAGCTGGAATCCTGTTTTAACTTCACGCTGAACCTCAGAATCTTCTGCACTGAATTAAAACGTTATTCCTAAAAACATTCAAAGACAAGGTTTTAACAAAGGTCCTGGATTATTATAGTATCACTTTATTTTAAGAAAGACACTGATTCTCTACTGAGTTTTTTTTTTCTTCAGTGAATTTCAAATTTGAAACTTTTAAATGGTTTAATCATTTTGCATTAAGCTGTATTCGTTATGACCTGCATTACTGCGTAACTGAAGATCCGTTCTGTGAAAATCACTAATAATGGCATTTTTAGTTGTAATAAAGCACAATAAACACTTTGATATTGTTGTGCAAATTATTTAGCATGAATTATCAACTAAATTCTCACTGTATTAGCGTAGCATTTGGTTCTCGTTTTCTTCTTCATGTTTTTGCTCTATTTGAGTTTCTAACTGAAAAGCTGATACGTCACTAATAATTCAAACATATTCCGTTTCTAAGGTGCAGTTTTACCCTTTGAAGTCCTGTATGGAACACATACTGTCATATTAGTGAAGTATTCAATCTGTTTAGCAACCAAAATACCATGAACATGTGCTGAATTTGTGAATCAATTAAGTCGACTAAAAACTTCATCCTCTAGTTAGTGATAAAACATTTTAGTATATGGAACACATCCCAAAGCATTCATGACGTATTAAACGTTTATTAGCTCTAATGCAATAAACTCCAGAGGTCATTTAATGCTACCTGAGACCTGCGGGAATCAAATGCTGTCAGTTACAGATTGATGATCATTTTGGATGATAATTTGCACGATAAAGTCTCAAAACATGTACTAACTTTATTATAATGAATAAAGTTTAATGCACAATGAATAGAAGAACAAGACACCCAACATCCTTAAAACAAAGTGATACCATTATGATTAACAATAATAATTACCCATGACACTGTGCGCATTGTTAATAAGGTGGCTAACTTTAGTGCGCTTGTGTGTGAGCTGCAGATAACTGAGGGTAAATATTTCAGCAGTGCTCTTTGGAAATAGGTTTTTATGTGTAATTAAGGACGCTTTGTTTTATAGAACATGTTACAGAACTTGTGTTGTAACCCGTTAGTGATGGTAGTGAAGCAGTGAAGGAAACTGATGCTGAGTGATGAGTGTTGAGTGTTGATTAAGGCAGCGATGATGGCCGTTCCTGCTTCACTACACCTGAATTCTCTGCTCCTGGCAGCTCACGTCTGCTGCGTTGTCTGGACAAAGGCACGAGCGACCAGCAGGGGTCGGCAGACACAAGTGAGTGCACGCTCCGTTATTAACTGCACAGTGGCTTCGACCTGCAGACAGAAAAACAGCCAACCAGTGTTTTTATTACTTTAGAAGATTAGTTGATTTTGCCCATTTTGATTCCATTGTTTTCCGAGTTTGCAAATGTACACGGAATATCCAGCTTGCCGTTGAGTGTGTATCAACTGCCATCACCAGCTGTTTAAAGAACCAATATTTAAATGAGCTGGAATGAGTCTTACCGGCAGGGCACTGACTGTATGCCAATGTAATCCCATACAGACGTGTTCGCACATGAGGCAGGAACTCATCTGTCTCTCTGCCAGAGTGACGATCCACCACAATCACAGCATCCCTGACAAACAAATCAGTCACTCAGCAAGTCAGACATTTATGCACATTTTCTGTTTCTATCAGTTATTAGAACTTGACTAACAGAGACACAGTCTTTTTATCTGGGAACTTAACAGTAATGAGACAGGAATGAAAATTCCACCATTAAAAATGCATAATTAAACAGATCAGATGTAAACAGAGCGGTTCAGAGTGGTTTGGTGTGAAACGCTCTGTTCTAGATAAACTTACAGAGTCAGAACTGTTCACAGTGGTGGTGATGGGAACCAGACGTCCACCTCTAAAAGCTCCCTCACAGAAAGTTACTACATGAAATGGTTATGAATTCACTGCCTGATGACTGAGACACTGTTTTATGAGAGTTTTGAGAACTTAAACTCCATTCATGGTGGAGGGATACATGCAGGGCGCTGTGAGGCAAAATAGTCCCCAAAGAAAACTTATTATATCAGATTTTCCACTATTTTCCATCATCAACATTCCATATAAACTCAGAAGACTCGTGTAGGTTCACTGGTGGTTCTGGATAGGAAATAAAATGTCTATATTTGTGTTGTAGTCATGGCGACCCCTGGTTCCTATCACCACCACTGTAAAGACATCTGGACCATTTCACACCAAACCACTCTGAATCTCTCTGTTTACACCTCACACACTGAGTTATGGGGAAATTTTGAAAAATCTGTGTTCATCTTTTCAACACAAACTTTTTCTGAATTTCTGTGTTTTTATTGTGACTCTGTGCTGTAGACAACAAAAAGAGAGCATAAACCTCAAAACCTCAAATCCCGCCATCATCACACAACACAAACAGAGCTAAACGGACTTGTTTGTGCTTTTATGAACACAAGAAGCAAAAATTACATTCGCGTTCAGTCTCACCGTTTCCAGTCTGTGTAGTACAGATTCTTCCCATAAGCAGTTATTCCGAACGGGTACTGAACTTCCTGTAGGATCTGCCTACGGTCACTGAATCCGGGCTTCATACACTCCACCTTATGTGTACCTACAGAAGAGCACATTAGCCTTCATCATCATCACCATCATCAACATCGTCACCATCATCAACATCACCATCATCATCACCATCATCATCAACATCACCATCACCATCACCATCATCATCATCATCAACATCACCATCATCACCACCATCATCATCAACATCACCATCACCATCACCATCATCATCATCATCACCACCATCATCATCAACATCACCATCATCACCACCATCATCACCATCATCATCACCATCATCACCATCATCAACATCGTCACCATCATCAACATCATCATCATCATCACCATCATCATCATCACCATCATCATCATCACCATCATCATCAACATCACCATCATCACCACCATCACCATCATCATCACCATCATCATCGCTAGGGGTGCGGGAAAAACTCGATTCTTAGATGCATCGCGATGCGGACGTGAACGATTCTGAATCGATTCATAAATGTCAAAAATCGATTTTCTAAATTTTTAACGTAATGTTGACGGAACGCAAAGGGCGGAACTGGAAGTGGGTAAGTGCGGCGCCCGGACAGTCTGTGGCGGCACATAACAAAACCACTACTGGATGAGTGAGAAATCCGACCGGCTTCCTCTGCATTAAAGCCAGGTTAGATCAGGAGTCACAACCCAAATGTTAAGAAGAGACATTTTGCCTTTCAACAAAGTCAAACCAGCTTGGGAGCCACAACATCTAATGTCCGGTATGTCTCAGTGTGTGTTAATGTCCTAGTATAGGCTAAACAATATAAACGAGAGCGCAGATTTACTCCGCTCTGCTTTAAGCTTTAGCTTTAGCCGCTTTCCTCCCATCTCCGCCAGAAAACCTTTCTTCAAAACTAGAAGAGTTTCTTGTAAAATGTCTCAGCGTCCGGCTGTTTTACGAGGCTGAAGTCGCTTCTCATTCGCCAGCTTCTCGTTCTAATTTTCCCGTTTCACCTTAAATTCTGCCTTAGGCGCCGAATGCAACTGAGGCACCATTTAAGGTGGAACGGGAAAATACGAAAGGGAAGCGACTTCATTTTCGCAACCTTTTAGAGAAAGACAGTCTCTCAGCAGATTTAACCAACCGCGCTGCTTATAAATGCGAATAAGTCTCCAAATGATCGTCTTAATCTCTGTTTTTTCGTTCGCTACCTCGGGGCTATGTGACCTGCTGTCTGCTATCTGTTCTCGGTCGTTGAGAACCAGAGCTTTCGCGCTATGCTGCACGCTTTGCAGCATCCAGTCTCGAAAATAGACACCCCCCCCACCAACTCTCTAGAACGAGACCAAAACCGAAGTTATAAGATCACTAAAGAAAACGGGAAGGATGGCTGTAACGCGCTGCGTGGACACCAATCACCACTGGATCTTATTTAAGGGTAACAGCGCATTTTATCGCAGATGAGTGGCAGCAGCGTCTCTGAATGAGAGCCTTCTAGTTCACTTGCCACATCACTTCGATTTGATTTATTAATAAAAGATATTTTAGATATTTAAAGCAAAGTATTTGTAATGATCCATAATACATTTACATTATGGATCATTACAAATACTTTGCTTTAAAACTACCAAGTCGCTCAGACAGTAGGAAGATAGAAATCCTGTATAGAGAAAAAAGATGCATCGATAATCGTTTTATAATCGCATCGCAGCCTCTGAATCGTAATCGAATCGTGAGGTGCCTAAAGATTCCCACCCCTAATCATCGCCATCACCATCATTATCGTCGTCATTGTCATCGCCATCATCACCACCATCATCATCATCGTCATCATCAACATCGTCATTGTCATAATCATCATCACTTTCCAGTAGAAAAAGCATTTATCGGTTCATTCGTTTGCAACATGCTGCTCAATTTGCAAGTTTTTGTTGATTTTCTGAGTGTGAATAAGTAAACACCCCCTCTACAGAGAACACACTTCTGCACTTTATCATGCAGAATTACATTTTTGGCATTTTTCCCCGATTTCATCTTGTTCAGTTCCCCCCAGTTAGCTCCGTCTCCCCGTCACACGATACTACACTCTTAAAAAAGATAGTTCTTCAAGGGTTCTTTAGAAAAGAGAGTGGTTCTGTATAGAAGAACCATGAGCACTCAAAGAATCATATGCATGCTTAAGTGGTTCTTTGCATGGTGAAATGGTTCTTCAGATTGGAGAGTGTGTTTTATATGGTTCTATACAGCACCAAAAAGGGTTCTTCTACTATTTACAATGTCAAGCTTGTACACAACAGGAGAACCCTTTTTAAATATATATAAGTATATAATACACACTCTCTGATCTGAAGAACCATTTCACCACACAAAGAACCACTCAGTGTCATAATGAGAAACATTAGATGTATTGATTAGGTTTAAGATGTTCCTACACAGGAACCTCACCAGCATCTGCCCAACAAAGCATAGAGTTCTGAGCGTCGTAGGTCAGAGCGTTAGGAAGGCCCAGGTCGTCCTTCACTAGGACTCTCCTATTGGTCCCGTCCATGTGAGCTGCTTCTATTTTGGGGGACTCTCGGTTCCAGTCAGACCAGTATATGTACCTTAAAGGAACAGTGGAGTCAGAGCTGCTGTTAGACAAGTTCCTTACAAGCACTTTATTACTGCATGTTTCTCTCAGTAAACAGAACAATACTGGCACTCTGTGTTTGGTTTGGATGGTTTGGAACTCCACAAAAAGTTCTTTAAATGCCACAGAATAACCACCATTGGTTCCCTAAAGAACCATGTTTAAAAAAAGAGATTTGTGATATGCGTAATGTAAAGGTTTTTTCCTAGAACCTTTGTCATGTCGAGGCTCTTTAAATTTCAAAAATGTTCCTCACACTCACACATTTTATTTACAAAAATGGTTATCTAAGGAACCGCCTAATGAAAGGCTTTTAACGGGTCAAAAAGTGGTTCTTGTATGGAAACTTTTGTTCTTAAAAAAGGTGCCACAAAATGTTTTCGGAGGGTTCAAAAGAGGTTCTTCGACGGGATTGTGCAAAGAACTCTTTTAGTTCCCAAACTGAGCGTGGAAAGTGTGAATAAGCCCTCACACAATACACATGTTCTTTTCTACTTTAATGGCTCTTCTTTAGAACCTTGAAATAATGCAGAGGTACTTGACACTTTAAAAAGGTTCTTCTCTCTTGGACTGCAAATAATAATATCTTATTATAGTCAAAACATTTATTCAGAATTTATTCATTATCTGAAATATTTCTCATTATGAGACTGATGTTTGACTATTAAAGGATAATTTAACCTGTTTTTAGACATTTTTACAAGTAAAGTGATCTGCCAACGTTCATAAGAGTGAACATGATAGAAACAAGATAAACATTCTTATATTATTGGTATAACAGTCTCATAATACAAAACAATTAAATATATTTAAATAGATTTAAATTATACTAAATATATTTAATTATGCTTTCAGTTGCTAAGATATAATTTTTGTATGATTTGCACATCATCTGTACAAAAATGGCTCTAATGAAGCATCAACTGAAAGGTTCTTTGAGGAACTAAAAGTGGTGCTTCTATGGCATCAAGAACCATTTCTGACACCTTTATTTTCATTTAAAATTTTCATTGGTATTCAATCTTTATATTACATGGATTTTCTTTGAAATTCAAAAAGGTTCTTTACATTTACACATTTCACTTATAATAATGGTTCCTTATAGAACCATTAACTAAAAGGTTTTTTAGGGAACCAAAAGCAGATCTTTTTTAATTGTATTAAATCAACATTACATGGAGTCTCTAGAAGCTTTAAAAAGGTTCTTCATATGCACATATTTCATTGACACTGGTCAGTGGTTCCTTAAAGAATCAATAATTGAAAGGTTCTTCAGAGAACCAAAAGTGGTTCTTTGCCCCATCGCAATGTTCAAGAGTGTACACTGGCGTTAAATGAGTGCCGTACCCGTTGGTGGGGTCAGTGAGGATGGACCGCGGGTTCACCAAATCTGTATCAATCAAAACACGACGCTTAGCCCCATCCAGGGAGCTCACTTCAATCCTGTCCTTCGTGGAATCTGTCCAGAACATGGTCCTTCCCAGGTGGTCTACGGCAATGCCTTCAGGACTTCCAATGTCTGAAAGAGGAATCTGCCTGAAATCATTCCTAATATTGCATATTAAACACCACATACTGCACCGTCAGTGACCCCGTCATTTATTCAATTTACAGTTAAAACAGCCATTAAATTTAACGGAGAATCCCACAGAAGCCTCGCCAGCTCACTCTACTCTCAGCTGTGAGAGTCAGTAAGTCTCCTTTATTCCAGCTTCCATTCTTTTCAGGAGCCTCACTTTCAGTTCCTCAAAGAATCTGCAGACACACCTCCAGTTCAGTCTTAGAAGCTGGTTGATGATTTTCTGAAGTAATCAAACACATTCAGTGGTGTTGAGGTCTGGACTCTGGGGTGGTCAGTCCATTGTTCAGCTTCTTTGTTTGATGTGTCCGTCTCCTTTTCTCAGTGAGTATTGGAAACTCCTTTGTTTTTTTCCTTCCTTATACAGGTGGATTATTTTATATTTAATCTCCTCACAAACATCTTCTGACCAATTAGTAACTTGTACTTAATGGCCATTTTGACCGGAAATTAAATGAATTATGGTCTCTGATTTAGATATAGAATAAATAGAAAAATATAGAAAAAAAGGATTTTTTTCTTCAGAGTAACCAGATTGCTTAGATCAATGTGCCCTTTGACACATAATATAATTAATCAATCAAATTTCACACATTTTAAACACATTTAGTACAAACCTGATGTGATGAGGGTTATGGCCTCTCCTCCCTGGAGATGAGCTTTACTGATAGCGGGAGAGGTGATATCTGTCCAGTACACCATCTTGTCCACACAGTCATAAGCAATTCCAACTACCACCTTCTCCTACACACAGAAAATGAAAGACAAATATTTCAATACAGACCCATAAACACGTCTTTAATATCTGTGCCTTCACATCCAAAACCCCAGAACCGAATGACCTCTTACAGCTTTCATTTGTTTCCAGCTGGACTTAAAGCTGCACTGTGTAAGATTTGGGGATTTGCCTTACAAATTCCTGGGCACCAACATTCAGTAGGATCTCAGATGGGACACACACAGCACTGCAGTTATGAAAGAGGACCAGCAGTGTTTGTACTTCCAGCAACAGGTCAAAGAAATTTGGTCCATCATCACATCCTTTGTCTCCGTCTGGTTCTGCATCTTCACACAGCCAGCGTAAGCTACAAAGAACGATGCAATGTGCAGAGAAAATCATCGGCTGTGGGCTCTTCACCCTCAAAGATCTTTACTCATCTAGGATGAGGAAGAGGGTGGGGAAGATCCTGCCTGACCCCTCACACCTTGGTCACTCTCTCTTATAGAGGTTTCCATCTCAGGGGAGACCAAGAGTGAGAGTCCTAAAGACTCTGGCCCCGGCCACCTCCTCAGCTTCTTTCTTCAGAACATCATACTCCTAAACAAGGAGCTTTCAGGAGCTTCATCGGTATAATGTTGATTCTGAGATGATTTGAAGCCTAAACATCGAGCTGGACCTTCGTTTAGAGTCTGTCTGTGACGATAATGCGTAAAGAAGTATAACTTGGTGTGAAAAACTCGACTCCTCTGAGTTTTAAATGATTATTTCAGGCTTTACAGGACGACTCGCAGCAGCTCACTCCCACCATATTTTAGTCTGTTTATATTCTCCTCACTCTGTGATGATACAATTCAGTTTTAACACAAACAGTGCAGCTTTAAATAAGTGTTGTAAATGTAATACTGTGGTGCTGATTCAAAACATGGAGATTTTACTGTGCAGACAGAATAAACAAAAAAATACAACACTCAGACTGGACACCCCCAAACATAACCACACAGAAAGTTACGCCGGAGGGCGCTGGGGCCCGTTATGCAACACACATTTTTCCTCTCTTTTGCTAAATGATGCACTGATGTTAGTCATTAGAGTGAATGTAAGCATGTGGTTCAAATGAGGAGCACTGGGTTGTCTGGAAAAGACAAGAGATGGGCCGGAAAAACCACAACTGAGTACCCTTCGAACCCTCAGACGGCACTGCATTACAAACCAGCATGCTACTGTGATGGATATCACTGCATGGGCTCAAGAATAATTCAACAAACTGCTGTCAATAAACACTCAGTATGATGGAGTCACAGTCAGCCACACGATTTAATTAAATCAGTGTTTGTCTATTTTGGCGTAGTCGGCAGGATAGGATAGTTTTTTAACGTAATTTTTTGTGTCGCTTTCTGAGACATGAGACATTAGCAACAAATTCAGTTACTGAATGTTATGACAATCTGATGAACTCTTCATTTGTTTCCTTGTTTTACTGAGTCTGTGTTTTCACACAAGAGGTTTTTTTCTGGACCCAGTTCCGCATGCTCTGTGAGTTCGGTACATTTGAGTTACGATGCCAGCACAGATCAGACACTCGCAGATAAAAAGACAAGACTGAAGTTTACTTGAGGTTTTGGTAATGGCACAGAGGGTGTTTTCAGAACAGGTCTGGGTCAGAACCAGAGAGCAAGAGAACCAAAACAAACAGGACATCAAGAGAGTAACCAGAAACCGAGTTCAAAAACCAAAGCAGATAATATCCAGCAAACAAACCAAAAAGAGCAGGTCAGAAACACAGAAAACAGGTCATACACTGAAGAACTTACACAAACAAAGACGCTCAGTACGCAACGGAAGGTGCTGGCAATACTTTGCAAATGACTAAACTAAAGCCCTTTATATACTAACTGACTAATGGAGTGTAATAACAAACAGGTGTGACAGCTTAGAATTCCGCTGAGGAGGAACGCTGAAATGAATGTTCACTGGTTGATGGCAATGGGATGAAAGTCATGTGATCTCCAACTGATTCATGGGAGTTGAAGTCCTCTAGATCGTTCATGGACTCAAGTGATCTTGCGAGGAGAAAGGAACAAGTGGAGGAAGCCTCCCCGGCAAGAGGCGTGACAGTTTGGTTGAGTGTGAAAGCTGTTTTCGAGCCCGGGAGTGGAACAGAGAACCGATCTCTGGTTCTCCTGAAGTCAGTGGTCTCTGGTGGGTCCACGGCACGTGTGGAACTCTCAACTCCCAGTGCTACGCATGGGGCTGCGTGATTGATTCATTTTGTGATGTGACTGCTTCGATTCATCGTGTCACTTCCCTCTCCAAGTTTCGAGATGGCGGGAAAGGATCGTTGTGGACAAAAAGTGCTGCTCTTGACCGCTTGAGTGTTTGTATTCAGTGAGTGTGGACTCAAGTATTCGGGACAAGTGTGAAAACAACCTAAATGGCTAAATTTCAGGACTCAGGAATTGGAAATCTAAGGCTTTGTTCACACAGCAGGACAAATCAGATCTGTTTCTTAGGTCTGAGTGTTGAGGTGTAATGTTAGAAGAGACCATATCTGATTTTTAGGCTATGTTCACATTACAAGACTCATTACTCAAATCTGATGTTTTGTTCAGATCTCAACTTTCTAACATAATCATTCACACTCGTTTAGGTAAGTGACTCAAACCAGTCATTAACACAAACCTGCATTCTAAAATGACCCACATGTGCACATCCTAATCGGTAGCATTGCGTGAATGAATCATATGCATCATGAACAGCAAACAAACTAATCAGCAGAACGAGCCTTTGTGCAAATATAAACAGCTCAGCTCTCAGCTTCGTTATCAGAGCGGGATGAAGGTGAAAAGGGTCAGATGTGTTGCTTTTCCACCATTTACTGGCTTTAACTTCAGTTTCAGCGCTGCTGCCATGGTACAGCTGAATGATGGCGCACGCACAGTGATTCAAAAAGAACCACATTATTTCAGATCTGAGCGTTCACACTGAGGTCACACAGCCACGATTCGGATATGTACCTCATCTAGGACCACATATGAAAGTAGCTCAGGTCGGGTTTGAAAAGATCAGATCTGAGTCACATTGGGGCAAAAAATCTGATTTGTGCTCTTCAGCCTGGAAATGTGAACATAGCCTTATACTACATACTGTAGTCGCATGTGCTCACATATCTACCCTGGTTGCCATAGTAATCACACATGCATGAATACGCTAGCTACACTCCGGCGCTAAACTAAAGAGGCACAATGTGGACACCAAACGTGTCTCGGCTGATCGACGGCTGAGTTAAGTGGATAACTGTGTTCATTTGACTTCTCAGTAAAGTTTTCCTTTAATAGCTGGAACCTATTAGACATTTCAGCCAGACTGTCTGGTTCCTGTCGCTTTACCCAAAATGATTACAGTGTTTGTCCCACACAGTTATGCGGTTAATAGCCAAAACTCTGGAAACTGCATGCTTTTTGTGGAAGGAAATACAGTTTTTAAAAGGCATCACATCATCTTTACCGGGAGGTGCAGTACAGTCTTGGCTTTGTCCTTCTTTATGTCTTGTCCTTCCAAAGGCACATACTCGATCTGCCCACTCTGAGCGAAGACAAGGTGAGTGCCAGACAGCAGCGGCACAGGTCCAACGGTGGGGGTCACCTGACTGACGCCTGAGGAAACAGAATTAATTATATTTAAAATATAACACAGATAATCAAACAAGTAAAAGAGCAACATGTGTGCACAGTGAAAAAGTAACATTAAAAGGCATGGATAACAGCTGTTTAGATGACTGCTTGTATCACCACTTATTTTGCTGGTACATCAGTTTTTCATTTGTTTTGATTTGTTTGTGTGTATGTTTTGATGTTTCCCTGCTGGCTGAGGAGTTTGCCATCATATCCACTGAGACAGCGGCCAAGAGTGATTTTCCACCTGCGGCTCAGAGGCTTCTTGGGCTGTTTGGGTGACGCTATGACGCAGCCTGGACCGGGACCTGATCGACACTACACCGCTACTTCCTGGACCGGTGGATTTTGGCTATATCGGCAACATGACTCCGCAGCTACGTGGCTGCCTGGGCCTAGGCACTTGGGTGACGCTGCATTGAAGCTATGAGGCTGCCTGGACTGGTGGCGTTCAGTTGCAGGACAATGCGACCATTTCGTGGCTAAGGACAGTTTTGGCCTTTGAGGCTTCCTGTGTGACACACCAGAGTTGTGGTGTGAGACTTTCCTCCGTAGCTAAGGACTCTTTCCAGGCGAGCTAAGTGACTCTATACCGTGGTCTGTTTAACCTCCCCCGCTAGTTGAGGGAATTGTGGAGTGTGTGTGTGTGTGTGTGTGTGTGTGTGTGTGTGTGTGTTCAATGTTGTTTTATTTATTGTTAATTATGTATATACAAGCATGGGAAAGGCGCTATATAAATGAACACTATTCAATTATATAGCGCCTTTCCCATGCTTGTATGACACTATTCTTATTCTGTATATATATATATATATATATTTTTTTTATTCTATCTTATAGTCTATATGTGTGTTTATATTTTTATATTTTATAGTATTAGCTTTAATTAAGCTTCCACAGCTTTGCTCTAAGCAACATCTTATTGTACTTGTACAGTGACAATAAAGATCCTGTATCTTGTTTAGGAGGTTTAGGAAAGGTGGGTAACTCACAGGTCGGTGTGCTGCCTGGTCCTGTTCGTGTGCCATAGATCTCAGCTCCATCGCGGTCCACGCACCAGCACTGCCCACTGCTGCCGTGGCACTGCATGGGCTCGTACTCACCGTGAGAGTCACAGGTCGGAATGTACTGACCAGGAACTGGGCGCGGACCCCGGGGTCCATGCCCAGCAGAGGCCAGAGCTCTCTCTCTGTGGACCTGACACCGAGTCTTTTGCTCTGCAAAATAAAAGTGCATGTTTAAGTTAAATGAGCTTTAGTGATGGAACATCATGAGCTTTAGTGATGGAACATCATGAGCTTTAGTGATGGAACACAATCAGCTTTAGTGATGGAACATCATGAGCTTTAGTGATGGAACACAATCAGCTTTAGTGATGGAACATCATGAGCTTTAGTGATGGAACACAATCAGCTTTAGTGATGGAACATCATGAGCTTTAGTGATGGAACACAATCAGCTTTAGTGATGGAACATCATGAGCTTTAGTGATGGAACATCATGAGCTTTAGTGATGGAACATCATGAGCTTTAGTGATGGAACACAATGAGCTTTAGTGATGTAACATCATGAGCTTTAGTGATGGAACATCATGAGCTTTAGTGATGGAACATCATGAGCTTTAGTGATGGAACACAATGAGCTTTAGTGATAGAACATCATGAGCTTTAGTGATGTAACATCATGAGCTTTAGAGATGGAACACAATGAGCTTTAGTGATGGAACACAATGAGCTTTAGTGATGGAACATCATGAGCTTTAGAGATGGAACACAATGAGCTTTAGTGATGGAACATTATGAGCTTTAGTGATGGAACACAATGAGCTTTAGTGATGGAACATCATGAGCTTTAGTGATGGAACATCATGAGCTTTAGAGATGGAACACAATGAGCTTTAGTGATGGAACATCGTGAGCTTTAGAGATGGAACACAATGAGCTTCAGTGATGGAACATCATGAGCTTTAGAGATGGAACACAATGAGCTTTAGTGATGGAACATCATGAGCTTTAGAGATGGAACACAATGAGCTTTAGTGATGGAACATCATGAGCTTTAGTGATGGAACATCATGAGCTTTAGAGATGGAACACAATAAGCTTTAGTGATGGAACATCATGAGCTTTAGTGATGGAACACAATAAGCTTTAGTGATGGAACATGAACTTTAGTGATGTAACACGAGGAGATTTAGTGATGTTTGTGAGGGGAACGTTGGCTCATTCTGATATAACAATCACGGTGTGAACTGTGCGTCTTCAAGGAGGAGTTTAGTTTGGAATGAAAGCTGTCGTTTACTGACTACTGCAGCAGCATGTTTTGTTTTCTGGTGGAGGAAGAGTTGTTTATGAAGAGTTGTTTAAGGTGGCAGCTTTTCTGGATCCTGTTTATATTTGGTTTCTTCTTTGCGTTTTAGAGTTTTAACTCTCATTTGTGGATGCAGTGATGAACTGTTTTCACAGACAGTGTTTTTCAGAAGTGTTTCTGAGCCCATGCAGTGATTTCCACTACAGAATCATGTCTGTTTTTAATGCAGTGCTGACTGAGGGCCCAAAGATCACAGCCAGCAAATACTGGTTTTCAGCCTTGTCTCTTACATACAGAGATTTCTCCAGATTCTCTGAGTCTTTTAATGATATGATGTACTAGAAATGACAAAAACCCCACGTTTTTTGCTATTTTATGTTGAGAATCGTTATTCTTGAATTGTTGCACTATTTGATGGTGCAGTCTTTCACAGAGTGGTGAACCCTCCTCATCTTTACTTCTGAAAGACTCCGCCTCTCTGAGATGGTTTTTATACCCACTCATGTTACTACCCTGTTGCCTACTTAATTGTGAGATGATCCACCAGTATTTTTTTCAGCATTACACAACTTTATCAGTCTTTTGTTGACCCCATCCCAACTTTTCTGAAATGTTTTGCTGGCACCAAATTCAAAATGGACATATATATTTTTTTTTAAAACAATAAAATCTTTCAGTTCTCACATTTGATATGCAGTCTTTGTACTATTTTAATTAAATATAGGATTTAAATGATTTGTACATCACTGCATTCTGTTTTTGTTTACATTTTGCACAGCGTCCCAACTTTTTTGGAAACAGGGTTGTATCTTTCAGCTACAGAGGGCTGGTGTGGCTGCAGGAACTCAGCTCATGTCACTAATATCACTAATCAACTGTTTGAAGACTGTTGGAGAATAACTGATTAAGCAAGTGGAATCAGGTGAGCTCCTGCCTGACTGTCCTTTGTGCTCCACTGCAGTGGGGCTTTGATGTGGATCTGAGCAGAAGTTCACCTCGGGAACAATGGAAACCATTGCCATGGAAACCAGGTCTGCACTGGCAGGTGAAGGATCCCTCTGTGTTGTAACAGACTGCATCCTGATGACAACGGCTGGGCTGACACTCATCAATGTCTACAAAGAGAACGACACACATTTGAAATTACAGAATTTAGAGAATTTAGAAATAAACCAACTCTGATTAAATAAACTCCATCAGTGTCTGTTCAACAAAGGAACCAACAGAAACAGTCTGGTGCTGGAAAACAGCTGCACTGCTATTATTTTCATCAATCATTCAGAGTTCGACTAAAACTGGAGTGACTTTAATGTGACGTTTTGAAGTCGACCTAAGATCAAAACTGTCTGTCTGGTCATACTGAGCACATTCTTGTTTTTCCATAATCTTCATTCCCCGCCTCTAAAACGTCTTCTGAGTTTTGATGGTGTCACTGTGTGCCAGCAAGTGGGACAATATATAATATGTATATTAACCAATGATTCGAGGTTTCTTTCTGAGGGAGTTTTCCTCACTACTGTCGCCTTCAGCTTGTTGGACTCATTTCAGTAGAGCGGTTTAGAGGGTTTGTGATGTACCATGTTTTAAGAACTGCTACAGAAATAAAACTAAACTTAATTCATTCTAACTCAATTCTACTCCAGCAGGAAAAATCATCAGCATTCCCAGCAAATCAAAGAACTAAAAACTGAAATATTAGATACCAAACCTTGACAAGTTCGTCCATCTCCCATAAATCCCGGTAAGCAGGAGCAGATGTAAGAGGATCCTCCAGTGTAGCTGCACTGAGCGCGCTCAGGGACGTCGCAATTATGCAGGCCTGCTCGACACGGGTCCACCGGCCGGCTCGCCTCTACAACCACAGAGGAGCGACTCAACACTGCGTCTCACTTTAACGCAGACAAAATGAATCACACAGTGAAAAACAAACAGAAGCTGCTTCAGTTTAAGGGCTGAGCAGCTTTTCACAGGCCTGAATCCTCTGTTGGCTCTACTTGGCCAAACTGCATATTAACAAAATATGTAAACGGTTTCAAAAACTATTAACTGCTACAGTTTTTTCATAATTAATTAATTAATTAATAGGAAAATAAACTAGTATATTCATATTGCTCTTGTGTTGTTGTTTGCTGTCCGGTGTGGTCCAGAGGAAATTCACCCACTCTGTCTTACAGAACGCGTCTAGTTTCGTGATGCTCTTGCACAGCTTGTTTTAGATCTACTCACAGGTCTTCTGTATTGTTCAGGCAGCCATTCTAAAATCCCCAGTTTGCATTTCTTCAAGTAGCTCATGGTGGATTCTGAGGAATGTTCTGGATCATTGTCACATTCGCTTCCAGAATTTGCTGATTTTTAGTAGAATCCACTCTTCCATCTACCTGTGCAGGGCGTCCTGAGCCACTGGTTGCCACACAGCCTCATGCTGCTCCTTTTTTCTCCAGCATGCCTTTCGTGATTGTGGCCTCAGAGCTCCATTTTTACTTTGCTTGTTTGTAAAATGCCTCTGATCTTTCTAGACCTCGTTCTGAGTACTTCAGATGTTGAATGTGGTGATTTAAAGAGCTCCAGATGTGTTTTTTTTTCTGTCTCTGCTATTTTAGCTTCAGTGGAATCCAGTGTGTTGAGGTGACTTGGATGCCTGGCATGAATGTATGATGCATTCAACAACATCAGCCATCATTTATTTATTTTGATACTTGAATGGTTTTGCTGTATTCAGGATTGTTAACCACATCAATTAACAGAGGTGGAACAGTCAGGTCCAGAATGTAAACATACTCTCCAGGATTTTATTCCACCTGCTTGGCTTTTAAGATTAGCCCAAAGCAGCAGTGATGTCTCAGTAGTGTCCATGCAGTTTGAAAAATCCTAAAGAGGAATTTTTCAGATAAAATCAGTTAAGAGGTCATTTTTCACGGAGGGATTTGGATGTTGGCTAACTTTGCTCTGTACGTGAATAACATAATAATTTAAAACACTAAAAATGTTTTGAGTTTGAAAGGTTCTCTCTGTCTAATATTACTTGTTTTTAATAGATTTAAAAGTGTTCACTGTGACAAACATGCAGTGTGTGAAATCCCCCCCGCTATTCGGGGGTACCGTGTTGTCTGTCTGCTGACTCTCTCTCCATAGCGCCGCTGATGCTTCAGTGTCAGTAAATGTTTGTTTATCAGCTGTTCTTCTGTAGAGTCTCTGTTCTAGTGCGGTTCTGCGCTCTTCCTCACAGTAACTGAGATCTTCCTCGTCTCCTCTTCTGTAGAGTCTCTGTTCTAGTGCGGTTCTGCGCTCTTCCTCACAGTAACTGAGATCTTCCTCGTCTCCTCTTCTGTAGAGTCTCTGTTCTAGTGCGGTTCTGCGCTCTTCCTCACACTAACTGAGATCTTCCTCGTCTCCTCTTCTGTCTTCAGTGTGAGAAATGAGGAACAGTCACTCTTCACTCCAAACTCTTGGGAAACTGGGCGAGTTTTCAGATTTACAGATCTGCTGCAGCTCATTGTAAAGTGTTTCAGAGGAATCTGGGCAGAGTTACAGTTTCTAGACTATGAAGGACCAACTGGGTGAACCGGTCTGCTACAGCGCCACCCTGAGGCAGAGCAGTGCTGCAGCTCTAGTTAGTTAAGAACAACAAAGACAGAAGCTGATTGTGGAGTAGGATCAATAATAACCCTTTCCTAAATTTGTATTTGAGTGCCTGTCTTTCCCTAACAGCCAGCATAGGTTTATTTTCAGGGACCCCCAGAATGATTTTTTGATTTTGAGACATTCAGGTGGTCCAAGAGATTAATTACGAGGTCCCAGGCTCCCCAGGACCCCCTGTATTTCGTACCTTGCAAATATGCAAAAATAGGAAGGGAGGAAGTAAACTTTCACAGCACTGTACATAACCCAGTCTGTATCAGGTATTCAGTGTCATTAATGTGTTGGTTCAGGTGTGTTTGGAGCTGTGATTAACAACTTCATTATGTTGTTATTCATTTTACATGACTATTAAAGTCCAACTGGCCTAATTTGATAGCTGATTAATCATTGTGGTTCTTTGTAGTCAGTACATTGTAGCTCCCTCTAAAGGCGTTATTAGCAAACATTTAAATAAACAAACATTCTACTGTCACAGTGTGAACCGGACTGTGGTGGGTCAGGCACTGTGGGTCAGGCACTATTCTGAAAACGAAACATCAGTAAAACTGTTAAATAACGTCCAGATGACTGTGTTTACTCTACATTGCTCGGTATCTGGCTAATAAAGTGTTGCTCTCACTCACCAACACAAGTCTTTCCATCACTAGCAAACTGAAAGCCTTCCACACATTCACAGCGGTAGGTTCCGGGCTGGTTGTTGCAGATGGTGTTGGGACCACAGATGTACGGCGTCTCTCTGCATTCATCAATATCTGCAGAAACAAGGAGATCCGACCTTCACAAACACAAATACACACCATTTATAACTGTTTAAATCTGCCAAAAAGACGACTCCCGAGGTTAAAGCTCACTTGTGCACAGTGATAAATATCACAAACTCTCGATTCTGGCAACTCCTCCATGTTCTATGTATAAAAAGAGCCGTGATTAATCTGTTAGACAGGTTGGTGCTGCGCTGAGTAGACTGTCTAACGTCGCTCTCAGAATAAAACTGAACAATGGAGACGGCGCTTTGATACTACTGTGGTGTAGTGTAGGTATCCAGTGATGTGGAGAGCGAATTTTAAATCATTCTGTGAAAACAAGCACGTGAGATAATCTTACTGGAAGAAATATTTCAATATACAGTCACTTGCAAAAGTTCAAATGACACATCCTGTCAATTTTCTAAGTGAAAATAAATTAACACACCCTTTACATTTAAAGCTGCACTGTGTAAGATTTGGGGATTTGGAGCCCTCTCTGATGGAAATGTGTAACTGCACGCAGCGTGCAGAAGAACACTTTGTAGCGTATGTTGTGCTTCGGACCCTCACAAGCAGATGAATCTGCTGATTGAAAGAGAATTCAGAGAGACCTCAGTCTAAACTGGGTGAAGGAGCGTCTCTGAGGATATGAGTGAATTATCTACTATAGTCATCACATCTTCATCAGTGTGATGCTGATTCTGAGATCATTTGAGGCCGAAACATCGAGTCGGACCTTCTTTTAGAGTCTGTGTGTGATGTTTATACATAAAGACGTACGATGTGGTGTAAAAAACTCCCAACTCTGACTTGTAAATGATGATTTCAGGCTTTACAGGCTTCACAGCAGCTGCTCACCATATTTTAGCCTGTTTACATTCTCCTCTCTTTATGCTCTCCTTCTTTCAATTCAAACACAAAAATCTTACAAAATCTTACACAGCACTGCTTTAAATATGCTACTGTTCTAAAACAACTGTCCTAAATTTAACATATTGGAAAAAATAAAATCCTTTCCTGTCGAGGATGTAAAACTCACTTACACTCAGAAAACCAACAAATATGTGGAATTTGACTGAAACCTTTTTAAACGGCTGTATATAAAAATTCTCTCGCTATGTCTGCGAGTCCAGTGCAGACAGAAGTCTGGTCTTGTGTACCGTAGCAGGTGCGTCCATCCCCATTAAAGCCAGTCGTGCACTCGCAGGTAAACTGGTTTCCCTGTCCAGGTTGGCACACAGCGTTCGTGTCACAGCCGTGTCTGCCTGTGTAGCAGGCGTTCTCCTCAGGCTGAACACCTACAAACAGAAACACCAGTAACTCATTAAGGTCAGTCAGAAAACAGAACCATGAACACTCAAAAGAGCCCTTTGCATGATTAAAGGTTTTTTTGCATCATGAAAGGGTTCTTCGGATCGATGGGTGCTCTAGATGGTTCTATATAGAATCTTTTTGAAAGCGTCTCTATATAGCACCAAAAAGGACTCTTTTTTACAAGCTTGACATTGTTACAATAGATATAACACTTTTTGGTGCTATATAGAACACTTATCAAAAAGGTTCTACATAGAACCATTAGTAACATATTTTTCATCAATCTGAAGAATGCTTTATTGACGCAAAGGTTCTCTTTAGTGTACATGGTTCCATATAGAACCATAAGAACTCTTGAAGAATCATCTTTTTCAGTGTGTAGGGAACCTGCTGACTCAGGCCTCAGTGCAGGACCTCGTGCTCCTCACCGTTTATGTCGCCAATCTTGTTGCTCATAGCGTAGCGGAGGACCTGGTCAGATTCGCTGTACATCACGAACACCTGGTCTACACTGAGCATCTGGGTTTGGGGGACCGGCCTGGCCGTCCGGTCATGTTGGCAGCTCTGAAAGCTGATTCTCTCCCTCCACTGGTAGGTTCCAGTCACCGTAGAGCCGTCCTCCAGTGTGACCATGTAGTCCCTCGTGGAGGAGGAGGTGATCACTGATGGAACACAGAGGACTTATCATCACTGATGGAACAAAACCTCGTATCTCCAAAATGGCGACTACAGAGAAAAAACGTAATTCACTTGTAATGGAACAAAATTTTGGATAAAATGATGCAAAAAAGTCAAGAATGGAAAAAATGGTATCTTGGCATGAAATGATCTTATTTTCAGTGAATATATCTAAAATATCTAATCTCACTTTGAGAATAAGTATAAGATCATTTCACTTATTTTTAGACATTTTTTACTTTAATAATTTTATTAAGTGAAATGATCTCACTGTACTGGAAGATAAATTTGCATGTTTCAAGCATATTTCCTAAAATAACTAAAACTATGTGTTGAGAGATAATAATCCTATAATAAACTTCCAACAATCTCAACATGAGAAATATTGTATTTATCAACTACATTTAAGATAATTTCACTTGACAGGCCATTTTTTAGCCAGTGTACAAGGTTTTTGTGTGACAGTGATGACATATTACATATACATACACTACTATTCAAATGTTTATTATAAATGGTAAATAATATAGAACTGCGTTGTATTTTTTGAACAAATACATTTTTGCTGCCCAAATAAACAGATTTACATTTTATTCTCAAATGGCCTGAGACGTCTGCAGAGTCCTGTCACAGTTGTCATTTAATCAACTTTCAGTCAAAACAGGCAATAAATACACCAAGAAAAAAAACAGAAAATACTTTGATGCCTTAGCAAATGAGAACATCTTAAAATTCACCAATATATCTAATATTTCTCATTATGAGATCTTCGTAAGGGTGTAAGATTGTTCAACTTATTTCCAGACATTTTTTACTTCTTTTAAACAGTTTTGTCTTATGAAAGTGTCCTATTTCATAGGCAGTTCACTCTTTCCCTTTATTCCAGCTTCCATTCTTTTCACTCTCTTTCAGTTCCTCAAACCTTCAGCACCTCTTAATGCTTCACTTTATTAGCGAAGGATTATAAATAGATGTTATTACTGCAGATAATTTACTAACTGTCTGCTGAAGCTGATTCTCAGCAGTGTTCTGGGTTAGGATCAGCACCAGGGTGAGGGTCAGGTTTCCTTAGGAATCCTTACTTCCTCGGGAAATGACCGGTCACCTGTCACTCTGTGAATGCAGGGTCTAAGAGTAAGAAAACAGCTGACATGCTCACAGTTGTTGCTGTAAAGATAGACGGCAGAATAAGGGTCTATCTGGACAGTTGCTCCCAGCGGCACCTCAGGAATCGATCCCTCCAGTCTGGTCTTGACAACCAGGTGGTCGTGTTCATCAATTCCTCTGAAGTCTTGGGTGATAGTCAGCTTTTCTCCTCCTGCCTGAAAGGTCACATCAGCCTGGCGTGTGAACTCCCCCCCTGAAGAAGGAACGTGGGGGGGTGGGGTTACGCTGGAATTGCATCAAAGTCATCCTCACATTTTTAGTAGAGTCATAGGGAAGATAAACGTGGTAAACATGATTACATTGTACAATGTTCAGCTGTCGTGTGTATATATATATATATATATATATATATATATATATATATATATATATATATATACACACACACACACACACACTTCTGTCATTTTTCAGTTTTTGAGATTATTTGAATGCCTGTTACTCTTTACATTGTGTGTAAATTTTGTGGTGAATGGACTAAAAGAAACGGCCCAAAACTACTTGGAAAGACGTCTGGTTCCATTGACTTACATTAAAAATAAAGTAGGCTTTTTCCTTCTCCTGTAAAGTTACCATTTTGGAGATATATTTCACTGCTGTTGAAACAAAACCTCGTATCTCCAAAATGGTAACTTTACAGGAGAAACATTAAACATAAGAGTTTTACTCATGGTTCTCCTGATAAAACCAAAGTGATTCCAGCTCCTGCAGTGCTGAATTTGTTTATTGCTGCAATGTCAGTAACATCAGTAAGGTTAGCGCTGGAGGACGCCATCCTGCCCAAACACACCCAGTAAACCTGCCAGATGAGCTGCGTCTCCAAACTCTGCTGGTCATCAGCCCTACAGAACCAGAGCTGCTGTAGATCAGTGGGTTTAGCTCCAGTTTGAGGAACCACTGACCTGCACTGTTTCAGCTGAAGAACAAAATTATGTTCACAATAAAACTGATAACAATGCATCTTCACTCATATGTAACTACACCATACACTTCTAAAAATATGGTTCTTCAAGGGTTCTTTAGTAAAGAAAATGGTTCTATGCAGAACCATGACCACTCAAAGAACTCTTTGCGGGATTAAAGGGTTCTTCAGATTGTATTGTGCTATTGAGACGATGTCATTGCTATACAGAACCCTTTAAAAAGGGTTATTATTAATGTTAACTTATATTAACTTATTATTAATGTTACAGGAACTGAAATGACACTGAGCATGCATTTCTTCCTACATGACTTCAGCACGCTTCACAAACTGATTTTTACAGGTAATTTAATTTAATTTTAATTTAATTTAGGTATCTTACCAACAATGCTGAAGCCGTTCTTGAAGCCGGGCTGTTGGAGGGCAAACGCCCAGCCGATGACCCCTCCAACAGACGCCAGAGGCAACAGGGAGAGGCCAACACTGGAGGGAATGGCACTGATAGCCACGTATGCTCTGCCATCATTGGCTACCACATAGGAATGGAGATCATTGTTGTCGAACTCAACAGGAGTTGGGGAGTTCCCAACAAACACTCGTCCACTCACCTTCCCGTTCATCCTTTGGGGTTTGCCTAAAAAAATACGGTTAAGCAAATGCATTACCTCACCTGTCATTACCTCACCTGTCATTACATCATCATAGAGCTATAGATTACTATTATAGATCTGCTGGAGTTTGACAGACAGTATAGGTATTAATGTAATCTGAGTGGTGAGTTAGTATTTTTGGTACTGACTACACAAAACTAACTTTACCCACATAGTAGAAACATCTGACATCTAATTATCAGAAGAATTCAAAATGAAAGTTCTACAAAAGGCCTTCAGACCTTCAGCGATGCACTGTTTCCCATTTCCATAGAAACCAGGCCTACAGTGGCAGCAGAACCCAGTTGCATAATCTTGACAATCAGCAAAGCTGGAGCATTCATGCCTGCTGTTGGCGCATGTCTGAGAGCTGTAGCTGAAAACTGCAGGAAGATGGAGGAATATTAATTACCTGACTGAATCAGTTTCCAAATCAGCTGAACTGTATTATTATGTTAAGTTAGGCTCGCAGAGCTAGACATGGTCTTATAATGACAAAACATCTGTGGACGACTTCTTAAACATTTGATGCTGGACAGCAGCAAAATACATCATTAACAAGGCCACGCCCATCTAAACCCCGCCCCCAAACTCTTCTAGTCTAACATAAAATCAAGAACACGAGTGGAACAAGCTAGCTAGAGGAACGCTTTCGTTAGCTAACAGAATTGGTAATGTTTATTTTTAATAAATGTGTTTGCAGTGTGTTCTTTTCAGTCACGCTAACTTACGCTACATGTGCTAATGTTAAGCTCATTGTCCTTTGGACAATGTTTATGGGCACACAGGTTTCCTCTACTGCAATACTACTACTACTACTACTACTACTACTACTACTAATAATAATAATAATAATAATAATAATCATATCTATATTTATAGAGCACTTTTCATACCCGTGGCTGCTCTGACAGACAGAAGATAAAGCTTAACAGTAATAGAAGAAATTAGAGGGGCTTTGTTTGATTTTATTCTATTATAGATACTGTTTGGTAACAGCAATATAGGAAAAAAATAATAACTGAAAGTTTAAAGTATTAATTAAAAACACTGGAACAACAAATTAAAAAGATAAATACAAAAACATTCCTGCTAAAATTAAAGAGCCGTAGAGTTTTACTGAAGCTCTGAGTTAAAGAGTCGTAGAGTTTTACTGAAGCTCTGAGTTAAAGAGCTGCGTTTTCAGATGTTTATTAAAAGTGAGCTCTGAGCTCAACTGGCTAATAAAAGCTGAACTGAGCTCCACAGTTTAGAAGCAGAATAACTGAAAGAGTCTCTCCACGTTTTCTGTGTTTTACTGAAGGAGTTCAGAAGGTCAGAATCTGCAGATCTGAGATCATAAACAGACAGATGGTCAGGAGCTTTAAACTCTCTCTAACAGATCCAGGCATTCTGCAGTGTTACGTTAAGGCAAAAACATCATCCTGGTAATGTGAACGTTGCCTTACTGACTGTGATTACATGCAGGACAAAACACAGCTCAGAATCTGAAATTTCCACCAGGTTTTGAACTTCAGAGCTGGTCTATAAAACAGCTTAGCTTCACCCAAAGCAGCTTTGTCTGAATTTTGGTATTTCATTTTGTTCTGTTTTTTTGTTTGTGAGCCTTCAGTAGGCATTGGATTGAAATTTCTCCCTCGGTTTGTTCCAAACCCTAATAAATCTACATTGCCACCAAAATGTTGCCCAAAATCTTTCTCATGGTTCACCACAGACGTTCTTCTTACAAGACCCTGTCTGGCCTCGCGAGACTAAAGTCACACTGACCACCAACTTGAATGTTATCATCTTCCTCAATTTCCACAAAATGAGGGTTGCCAGGCTGGAAATCACCAGTGTGTCCTTGATACGGTGAGGGATGCTCTGCCTTGTGGTACACTCCTTCAAGTGTTTCCTGTTGACTGTGCTGATAAGGTGGGTGTTCCAAAACAACAAGCTGACCCTCAGGGTATGTGGGAACTCGGTAGGATTGACTGTGAACCTCCGCTTCTTGGGGAAGAGCCACTTCACCTGGGACAATGTTGGTGAAATGGGAAGATGATCCAATCTCGTACACCCACACACCTCGCTTTCCAGAGTTCGTCTGCCTGAAAGAGAGACGCAAAATTGGAAAAACATCTTCCTACACAGATCCTAACGTCCAACTGTGGAACTACTCGCTAAACTCACTGCGCTAATTTCTGAACAGACGTCTTCTCGTCATCAGTGATGCGGTAGTAAGGTCCCTGCCTCTTCCGATAGAGGAAATAAGCCTCTTGACCCTTGTTGAATCCGGCATGCATGGTGTAGCCTCGGGTGGACTGGTACTGCATTCCCTCTCTTGGGTACAGTAGGATGGCATAGGAGATCTTCTCTTCTGAGGCAACCACCAGTTGAAAGGTGTTTCGCTAGAATGTAGGACACTTGATGAACTGTCCTGTCACTTCATCCCTTCTTAATTGATCAATTTGTCAATAACAAACAAGTTAGCTCACACATTTGACACTATTATCAATTCTTGTTTCAAAACTCACCTTATGTTCTGACCTGTCAGGCTCACGAGATCCTATATCCACCCAGGTGACAACAATGGCATGGGTGAGATTCACCTCATCGCTCTTGGGGAAGGCTTTATTGATGTAATTGGCTGCTCGCTGTAGTAACGCCGGGGTGGAGTCCTGGCGGAAGTACACCTTACCAACCCCATCCAAGGTGTTCAGGTCTCCCAGCAGGGCTGCAATCATGCCAAAGCTTGCAGGCATGTTGCCAAGGTATTCCGACTCCACTGAAGGCTTGTCCAGGGCAACAAACCCATTAGTGTTGATCTGAAAGTCACAGATAATTGGTTTGACTGTGTTGAGCAGGAAAGCTGGGTTTCTCTTGAACATGTTTGTTTAGACTAATATACTCTAATGCCGCGTTCACATGTTGGCCTTAAAAGTACCGTCGTTCCGTGCCTCTTAGACCAGTAATGGCATATAGAAATGAAAATGTTGCCATGGTAACAGCGTTATCAGCAAAATTGGATGACTATCAGAAGAGCCCTTTGGCAATGTCATTTCCTCATCCAAAAAAGTTTGGAAGACCGTTGCTGCCAGCGGAGCTTTGCTGTGGCGTGGGCAGAATTTTCATCGCAGCTCCAAAGAAAACAATAAAATATCTGGTTTGCTGTTGACCAGCTACTGCCAACATGTAAAGGCAGCATAACAAATGAGTACATATTCCATGTGTAGAACCACTACACTCAGAAATGTGTTTCTAAAATGGTCCAATCGGACTGGCTCATTTTGATCATACAGGTCGGTAGTAGTGTCAAATGTATTTTTCCTATGAGATGTTTGGACCGTACTGTAAGCTGTTAGCAAAATGATATTAGTATTAAAAACGACATGTCAAATTTATATTCCACATCTATCTCATATACCGACAAATATACCAGAGCTGTTCTAGAAGCAGGTAGCAGTAGCTTAGCATGCTACACCTTCCAACACCACAGCACAGGTTCATTCCAGCTCACTGAAGCCCCACTGAATCAAGTTTAGAGGGCACAGACTCAAATCTGAGGGAGCAAACTTGTGTTCTTGCATGTGAAGTAATTAGCTAAGCTACTTTTGTTCCATGACTGCAGCAAAGAGGTTAAAATGGCTTACAGAACGTTTATAACATAAGTTAACCTAACACACACCGATCAGGCATAACATTATCACCACCTGCTTGTTTCTACGCTCATTGTCCATTTTATCAGCTCTATATAGGATTAGAGAGAGTGGACAGTGAGTGGACACAGTGTTTAAAAACTCCAGCAGCACTGCTGTGTCTGATCCACTCAGACCAGCACAACACACACTGACACACCACCACCACGTCAGTGTTACTGCAGTGCTGAGAATGATCCACCACCCAAATAGTACCTGCTCTGTGAGGGTCCATGGGGGTCCTGACCACTGAAGAACAGGGTAAAAGGGGGCTAACAAAGTATCAGAGAAACAGATGGACTACAGTCTGTAACTGTAGAACTACAAAGTGCACCTATATAGTAAGTGGAGCTGATAAAATGGACAATGAGCGCAGAAACAAGGAGGTGGTCAGAATGTTATGCCTGATCGGTGTATGTTTGACGCAAGTTAAAAGAATAAAGACTGAAATCGGGGTGAGTGTCTGGTGTTGAAGGGATTGAAAGACAGAATATAACCTGTGCTGTGGTGTTTTGAGCTAAATATTAGCCTGCTAAGATAGCACTAGCATGGTTAAACATTTGTTGGGTGAAAATGAAAACATGAACATGGACTACACATTAAAAGTAAACATGGATTACAAGACAAATATATTCACTTTTGTCCACCTCAAAGTTGCGAATGCTGCATTTTCTGACATTTAATCATCCAACTTGGCAACTGTGCCAATTGTTTATCTACAATGCTGTCGGCAATCAGCCCAAGCCTAAACCAGATGCAATGAATCAGCATTTGTGGGGCTTTAGAGACAAAAGCCTTCAACATCTCAGCAGAGCAGCACACAGGTTTGTGTACGAGAGAGAACCGTGCAGTAATCTTAGTATCCGCTTCCTGTCACTTCCAACCATTTGAGTCTTATCTCAGTGAGGAGGATATCCTGCCTTTCAGGAAAAACAGGCTCCTGAGGGAACACCTCTTATCAAACCTTGTCTTCATTCATATGTGGACTCTTAAAAATAGCCACTTTCGGTTCCTTAAAGAACCATCTTTGGAATAAGACTTGTGAGTGTCAAGAACGTTTCAAAGAACCTTCACATGATGTATACCAATTAAGGGTTCTCCCAAGGATGTTTACATCATGTCGATGTTCTTTAAACTGTAAAAAGGTCACACATCTCACACAACCAAAATGATTGTTTAAAGAACCATCTATTAAAAGGTTCTTTATGGAACCAAAAATGGTTGTTCTACAGCATTGCGCAATAAAAAAGGCTTTTTGTCACCTTCATTTTTAGTGTCTACTCCACTGTTCTTCACAGGAAGTTCACTGTTTAACGTGGAAGTGTGAAGAGCTCTTATAAAGTTTGAATCTATGGAAGATGTTGCTTTGGTTCGTCTGATCCCCAAATGTCAAACACAAGGCCTGGAACACAACCCTGTCCAGCCCGCAGAAGGATTTTCATTTTCCATTAATATTAGCCTGCTTCACAAAGAGGTGCACTACAATCCCCAGCATGCACTGCATCATAATATGTGCTTCCACCACCCTGTCCCCCAAAAACAACCTATGGGACACACATAACACACACTCGCTGAGCACTTCATTAAGCCCATCTTCTTGTTTCTACACTCACTGTCCACTCCTACCATGTCAGTCCGCCTTGTAGATGTAAAGTCAGAGATGATAGCTCATCTGCTGCTGCACAGTTTGTGTTGGTCATCCTCTAGTCCTTCATCAGCGGTCACAGGACGCTGCCCACAGGATGCTGTTGGCTGGATATTTTTGGTTGGTGGACTATTCTCAGTCCAGCAGTGACACTGAGGTGTTTAAAAACTCCAGCAGCACTGCTGTGTCTGATCCACTCAGACCAGCGCAACACACACTAACACACCACCACCACGTCAGTGTTACTGCAGTGCTGAGAATGACCCACCACCCAAATAGTACCTGCTCTGTGAGGGTCCATGGGGGTCCTGACCTCTGAAGAACAGGGTAACAAAGTATGCAGAGAAACAGATGGACTACAGTCTGTAACTGTAGAACTACAGAGTGAAACTATACGGTCAGTGGAGCTGATAAAGTGGACAGTGAGTGTAGAAACAATGACCATATCACCATATATATATATATATATATATATATATATATATATATATATATATATATATTGTCGTTTTTCAGTTCTTGACATCTTTTGAAAATGTCTGTTGCTCTTTATATTGTGTGTAAATTTCATGATGAATGGACCAAAAGATACAGTCCTATATTTATATATATATATATATATATATATATATATAATCACCATGTTTTTAATATGGCCCTTTTAGCGGTTGAGTTTAACTCCCCTGGTCTAATCTATTTTTTATGCAGTGTGATAACAATAATAAGGAAGAACAGTTGGTTTCCTGGACCACACAATGCCATCAATGGAGAATCTCCATTCAGAATTCTGTGCAGTATTATTTATTTATTTATTTATGTTTGTTTAATCAGGGAAGCCAGACTGAGATTAAAATCTCCTTTGTGAGTGAGCGCCGGCCAAGAGCGCAGCACACAACAGCCAAGAGGACAACTAACACAGTTTACTAAAATACTAATAATAAAAATTACTGCCAATTAATAACAACAGCAAACGTAATGATATCCTTTCTATAGTTCTATATAGAACCATTTCATGCTTAAATGGTTCCCTGCATGGTGAAACAGTTCTTCAGATTGATGGAGAATGTGTTGTATATGGTTCTATAAAAACCTTTTCGAATACGGTTCTCTGGAGCACCATAAAATGGTTCTTCTATTGTGATAACTTGACATTGTAACAGTAGAACCCTTTTTGGTGCTATACAGAACCAAATAAAACACATTCTCCATTAATCTGAAGAACCACTTCATCATGCAAAGAACCCTTTAAGCATGAAATGGTTCTATGTAGACCTTATTAATCTAAAAACTATTACTTTTATTCTAGAACCCTTGAAGAACTTTTTTTTTTAAGGAAGACTTGATTCTATTGGCGACTTTTGTGTCTGAGGATCAGTGAAATTTATAGATACACTGAAAAAAAGACAACAAAAAATGAGCTGAAACAGAAAATCACATACTTTTAAACAGTAACACCAATTTTAACTGATTTGAATTGAACCCCTTTTAACATGAACCTTTAAAGAGCACCATCAAACTGGAGAACAATCAGTTTCAGAGAACACAAAGTTCCAAAAAAGTCCAAAAGCTAAACGTTCATGTTCCTGCAGGACTGGATCTGAACGAATTCCTCCAGGCTATGAAAGTGAAAAGTATGTGTGAGGACAGAAGAGGTTCTAACGGAGAACTGTGCAGAACCGTGTTCTCTGTAGAGGACGTGTTAATTTATTTACACTTAAATCAACATCATTACAGAATTAGACACGGGCGCACAAACATCTGCACACAACTGTATATCAAACTAAATGTTGTGGATTTGATATCAGACTGAAATAAAAGTGATGTTTGTTGTTACTAACAGCTCGTATCAGTGATTTCTTTGATCTTCAGAAGCGCTCTCCACTGAGCTGCTGAGGCAGTGAAAGACCGTCCAGTTAAGACAAATGAATGTAACATTTATGCTGACCATAACAGAAATGATCCTCAGCATATGTACAGTTTTACTTTAGCTTAGCGAGCAGCTGCAGACCCAAGCAGAGCCACTAACCACAGCACAGGTTTGATTCTGACTCAGCGCTGCTGATGATCAACACTAAAGCAGCACTGAAGTCTGAGAGAGTGAAGGTGGAGTGATGGACAGGAAAACGACAGCGAATCTGCTCTATGGTGTTTGGGACTGTAGCGTGTTAGCTAAGCTAATGAAAAGGGACACATCTGATTTGCAGCAAATCAGATGGGAAAAGAAACTTGACCGGCAAAGCCAGGATGAGACCAGCATAAACCAGTTTAGACAAAGCCAGTCTAAATTGGTTTATTCTGGTCTGGTGCTGGGTTAGCTGGTCACCCAGCATGCCGGTCATACCAGCCTAAAACACAACATATTGTTACTGTCCACTGTTTACACTGTGTGAAATTTTTATGACGAATGGACCAATAGAAATGCTCCAAAACTGCTGTGGAATAAAATCTCTTTGCAATAATTTACATTGAAAGTAAAGAAAGTTATTGCCCTCTTCTGTAAATTTAAAGATACTTATTTTTCTTTGAACACTGACAATAGGCTGGTTTTGCTGGTGACCAGCTGTACTGGTCTATACTGGTTTTTCTAGCAGCGTAACCAGCACAGTACAGCTGTGGGAAACATGGCAATTAGTGAGTGAGCTTAATGCTTGTTGGACACATTTCCATCTCTGGATTCAGCTGTTTTCAGGCAAATCCGGAAGACCGGTTCTCTCCTGTCCAGGAGTGTGAAGGGGCGGAATATGTTTATTTGGTTTATTTTACTGGATAGAAGCTGAACTGAAATTTAATGCTGTCGTAATTGTGTGGTATTACCATCATATCACCCAACCTTATTGGACCTGTTCCAAAATTGTTCTGACATCATCACTGCTTAGAAAAAATGGTGAATTTTCTAGGAAGACTGTTGTTTATATCATGGGCTTCATGTTAATGATAAGAACAGACCTGCTGATTCACATGTGAAAAGAACATTACACTCCACTCAACGCCAAGATCAGCGCAAACACAATCCAGAGGAATGCTGTCCCAGGGAAGAGGAAGACATCAGTTTTGATAGAGGAAGGAAACAGTCAAGTGGTCTTGTTAAATTTGGAGTATGTTAAGGATAATTTATGCACTTCCAGCTCTGTTTTTCAGGTGTTAAAGCTGAGCTGAAAGACTTCATATGCAGTCTGCTCTTCCATATGAATGATGGTTCATGACTATTGTTTTTAAAATCTGTATACTCTCTATAACTAATCTGTAAAGTTTATAACTGATCTATATACTCTCTATACTGATCTGTAAACTTTATATAACCAGTCTATATACTTTCTATAACTAATCTGTAAACTTTATAACTGGTCTGTATACTCTCTATAACTGATCTGTAAACTTTATATAACCAGTCTATATACTTTCTATAACTAATCTGTAAACTATATAACTGGTCTGTATACTCTCTATAACTGATCTGTAAACTTTATAACTGGTCTGTATACTCTCTATAACTGATCTGTAAACTTTATAACTGGTCTGTATACTCTCTATAACTGGTCTGTATACTCTCTATAACTGATCTGTAAACTTTATAACTGGTCTGTATACTCTCTATAACTGATCTGTGAACTTTATAACTGGTCTGTATACTCTCTATAACTGATCTGTAAACTTTATAACTGGTCTGTATACTCTCTATAACTGATCTGTAAACTTTATAACTGGTCTGTATACTCTCTATAACTGATCTGTAAACTTTATAACTGGTCTGTATACTTTCTATAACTGATCTGTAAACTTTATAACTGGTCTGTATACTCTCTATAACTGATCTGTGAACTTTATAACTCATCTGGTTACTCTATAACTGGTCTCTATATGCTATACTGGTCTATTTACAGCCATTTCCAAAAAGCACCTGCCGTCATGACACCTGCTGAGATGAAATGACAGCAAAACTCACAAAAGCAGCGTTACGACCGCTGACAGCTGCTGGAATAAACCTTTATAAATGTTTGTGTAGGTTTGTGTCATATAGCCTTATGAATTCTGCCCTTCAGAATTACATGAAATGGTTATGAATTCACTGCCAGATGTCTGAGACACTGTTTTATGATAGTTTTTAGTTTAAAACATTTTTTAATTCCATCCATGGTGGAGGGATACATGCAAGATACTGTGAGGCAAAATAGTCTCTAAACAAAACTTCAGATTTTCCACTATTTTCCATCATCAACGTTCCATATAAACTCAGAAGACACAGTTGCACTCTGAATGACATTGTTTACATCTCTTCCACTGAATAAATGCAGACATGGTGAAAAATGTGTGGAATTCTCCTTTAAAGACTGTAGAAAAAAAGCTGCTGAGCTGTTTAGCTGCAGGACAGCTGAGCAGGAATGAGGAGATCAGCTTGTCGCAGCGTTCAGCACTTAAAGCAGAACATACTCACGTAGATTTTGCTGAATTTTCCATCGTAAAACATCACAGGCTTGTCCAGAGAAACTTCCTGTGTTTCATCATTGCCCTGGTTCAGGCTCTGGTCTCCTGCACTGCTTCCAAATGGAAACAAATCCTGCAGGTTTATGCAGCTCGTGGAGAACCACAGCCCGAGAAAAACTGCCCAGAACAAACATCTCGGCGTCCGAACCATTTTCAGACGAGCACCAACCTCTCCTAAAGACCAGAGGAGACCAGAGGAGATCAGAGGAGACCAGAGAGGATCAGAGGAGGTCAGCGCAGACCGGAGCAGAGGAGGCTGTGGAATTCTGAGCGGGGCTGCAGATCTTCCCCCCGCTCTGCATTCAACCAAGAAACTTTCCGTCTGGGCGGATCTGTTGGGCGGAGCTGAACTTGTGAATTAAGAACACTTTATATTCTGCAAATTAATGTGAGACTCAACAAGCAGAAATGATGAGTTTTCAGACTGTAATCATAAAAATGTCATAATCAACACTAATATGCAGCACCTTCCATGAACAGAGCTCAGTTTATGTCCTGTTACCTTTTTAAAAGCAGTAAAGTGACTGTGATTGTTTCTATTATTATTTCTGTAAAAAGTGAACTTAAACTAAAATCATTAACGTTGGCATTTAATTGATTACAAAACATAAAATGTCTTAAATATGGTGATTTTGTGGTCAGTAACACTGAACTTACAGTAATTCCATCAGTTGTGTTATTCGGTTCACTTCCAAACAGCTGAATGTTAAAAGAAGTATTTTCGGAAATAATTTAATTTTATTTAACAAAAACTGTCATTTTAACCCCGTCCCACATTTTATGCTCTGTTACCCACTTTATAAATGGTCTGGTTACTCTATAACTGGTCTCTATATGCTATACTGGTCTATTTACTCTGTAAACTGTTGAGTAAAAATAAGATCTGTCATTTTAACCCCGTCCCACATTTTATGCTCTGTTACCCAAACCTGTTTCCCCTCATAAAAAAATGGAATAATTTATTATGACATATGAATTTGCATAATGAAATCGGTCAGTATTCTCATTCGAATTTTACAGATTAAACACAAAAAACTGATTTAGCTGCTCGATCATTCAACCCTGTTATCAAAATTACTGTTAGAAAAAAAAAGAATATATTAATATTTCATTAATGTATGTAAACTATTATTAGCAGCCTGATGAGCTCCTGAACGCTGTTTATTCACAACTGTTACACATTTTTAACCTTCAGTTATTTTAGATGAAAATAGCTTGAAACAAAGATTTTAATGAAAATATTTTAATGAAAGTTTTCAGCTTTTCTGCTCTGTTTTATACTTCAAATGTTTTTACTGCATTAATATCAGCTTAATGGGAAATATGATGTGCAAAATGTAAATGAAAACAAAATGCAATAATGTGCAAATCATTTGAACTCTATATTTCATTGAAAATAGTACAAACACAACAAATCAAATGTGGAAACTTGTTTTTTGAAAAAATTATGCCCATTTTGAATTTGATGCCAACAACACGTTCCAAAAAAGTTGGACGGGGGAACAAAAGGCTGGTAAAGTTGTGTAATGCTTAAAAAAAACACCTGGTGGTTGATTGGCAACAGGTCAGTAACATGATTGGGTATAAAAGAGCATCTCTGAGTCTTTCAGAAGTAAAGATGAGGAGGGGTTCACCACTCTGTGAAAGACAGCACCATCAAATAGTGCAACAGTTCAAGAAAAACGTTTCTCAAAGTAAAATAGCAAAGAACTTTAGCTTTTCATCATCTACGGTACTTAATAACATTAAAAGATTCAGAGAATCTGGAGAAATCTCTGTATGTAAGGGACGAGGCCAAAAACCAGTTTTTGCTGGCTGTGATCTTTGGGCCCTCAGGCAGCACTGCATTAAAAACAGACATGATTCTGTAGTGGAAATCACTGCATGGGCTCAGAAACACTTCCTAAAAAACCACTGTCTGAGAAAACAGTTCATCACTGCATCCACAAATGAGAGTTAAAACTCTAAAATGCAAAGAAGAAACCAAATATAAACAGGATCCAGAAACGCCGCCGCCTTCTCTGGGCCAAGCTCATTTAGGATTAATGGACTAAGGGGAAGAGGAAAAGTGTCCTCCAGGCTGTCCAAGACCACTCAGCTCGTTATCAGTGCACAGTTCAAAAGCCAGTATTCATGATGGTGTAGGGGGGCATTAGTGCACATGGTATGGGTGACGTGCTCATCTGTGAAGGCACCATTAATGCTGAACGATATATACATGTTTTGGCAACATATGCTGCCATCCAGACGACGTCTTTTTCAGGGAAGGCCTTGATCTAATTCCGATGTGTTCAGACACAGTTGGCTAAAAAGGTTCGAGATTATTTCAGCAAGATGATGTCAAACCACATTCTGCATGTATTACAGCAGCATTGCTCTGTTTTATAAGAGTCCAGGTGCTAAACTGACCTGCCTGCAGTCCAGACCTGTCACCACTGAAAACATTTGGCACATTATGAAATTAAAAATATGACAAATGAGCCCCTGAACTGATGAGCAGCTGAAATCCTGTATCAAACAAGAAAAGGAAAACATTTCACTTTCTAAACAACAGCAGTGTCTCCTCAGTTCCCAAACGCTTACAGAGTGATGTTAAAGAAGAGGTGATGAAGCCAGTGGTAAACAGGCGCCAATGTTTTTAGAACATTTTGCTTACATTTTGATTAAATGATTTGCACATCATTGCATTTTGCTTTCATTTACATTTTGCACAGCACCTCAGGTTTCTGGAAATGGGGTTGTAGTCTCAAAACAATTAATTTAGTCAATTGACTTATTGGATAAAATTACTAATACAAGAAAAATTGCACTCTTTTGTTTAGCGAGAAAAAAAAAACTCTTAAGGCAGCGAAGTAATTTATAAGAACTGACTGAGTTTGGACTTTTATTATTTGAGAAGTTCTAAAGCATTTTAATATCTGTAATTCTTGCTAGAAAATAAGTTCAGTTGATGCAGGCTTTTAAATGCCTTTTACAGTTTACACCTCCGTAAAACTGTAAGAGTTGCAAAACATGCTGAACATTTCAGAAAAAAACAGCTCATATTGTCTCTGATTTGACACCCTGAGGTGGAAAATTACATTTTCTGAAGGTGAAGCTCCAATTTTGATTCCTACTTTGCCAAAAAAAAAAACGCTAAGAGAAAAATAAATATTTAAAGTTTTGAGGCCTAAAATAAACTTTACTCACGGAAAGTGCCCCCTCACTGTTTTTGTGCACAGCAGATTTTGAGATGAGATTTTACCTTTATTGGTGAGCGACACGAGTACATGCTGTGAAATATAAACATGCAGGTATATAAATACATATATCTATATGTGCACATACAGAGCTTTGTATTCAGTATGTATAACAATTTTACTGAATTCTGAGTTCAAACTGCACTCACAGTAAAAAAAACTCTAACCCCTAAATTTACACTTCTGAAAATAATACTGACGCTTGTTTTTTAAAAGATCTTTTTGTTATTTCTTTTAAAGGTAAAAGATTTAGATTTATCATGAGTTTAGCTTTTAAATAAAACAAACTTGATGTACACAACGCTGTCCCACGTGTTATTATGTAGGCGGAGCCTTATTTAGCCCCGCCCCTGCATTTTAGAGCAGGAAGAGAGGCTGCATCCCTGTCCCTCTTGGCCGCATGGTGAGCAGTTAGATCCCATTGTTTCGAAGTAAATGAGTCCCAAAGTCTGAAAATCAGTGTGGAACATTAAGAATCGTCATATTTTCTGCAGTTCAGCACTTTTTAGTGTTTTAATGTAAAATATGATGATTTTCTGTGTGAACAGCTGTTCAAAGCTGTGTTTGCTGGTCATGAACTGCTGAGTTTCTGAGCTCAGAATGAGCTGAAATCATCACTGAAACAGACACTACTGAAACATTAGGTACAGTTATGATTGTTTTGGAATGTTCAATCATTCGTTTTAATAAAATAAACATAATTAAGGTTTAGAGTCACTCAGAGCAAAAGGATTTTATTCCAAAATCAGTTAAAGTCTGAAATGTGTTTCAGCTCTGACTCTGACCCAGGTCAGTAGAATCATCTGTAAATGTGAACACGCTGTTACTGCAGGAAATCCGATCTAATCCAGATGTTTGGAGTGAAATCCAGCCAATTGTGTTCTGTTGGTACTTGTTTGTGTGACTCAAAATGTCAGTGGACATGACAAATTTGACCGATAAATCCCGTTTCACAGTCGTATGCGAGAGCTCTCTGTAAAAACTTCTGCTTTGTTATGTCTTGACTGGTTTTGCACCAAACAATAAATATATATGACAGATGTAATAATAATAATGCAAATATGAATAGCTTTTTATCATAAAGAGATGTGTGCATGTGTGCTTATTCACACATTAAAAAATGTTTTTTTAAACAATAAAAAATTAGGACAGTGAGATTTCAGTCCACTTACCTGACCAGGTGAGCTGGAGAATAATTTGATGTTGAACTGATGATATGGGCCAGCCGGTACATCGATCGTATGATGTGCCAGCAGATATTGACTTTACACTAGGCCTGGGCGACAGGGTGATGTAATCAGATATTGACAAGGACGGACAAGTGACACGATGGTGATGTGTAAAAGATGATAATCATCGTTTTAATAAAAACAGAGCGAATTAGAGACTAATTTACTGTTGAACAGCTCAAATGTTACTTTTTAGGGTTCACGTTTACACAGACACACACAGAGAGAGAGCGAGAGAGAGATTCCCTTTTATTTGCTTTATGTGAATGGAATCAAAAATGAATGCCAGACTACTGACTCACTGCAGTAAAAACGAACTAAAATCACTGAAGGCTTGCACAGAGCAGCTCAGTTAACTCTAACCTGGAGAGAAAGTTCCTCTGATCCTCCTCTGCGGCCGGTGTTCAGTGTTTTCTGTACAGATTAAGTGCTGAATTACGAAAACGCAGCTGTAATGACAGAAAACGGCTCGTTTTTAATGTAAAAAGCGCCGCAACATGGCTTTGGAAATCACCGGCAGTCTGAAGTTTCTCCTGCAGGGAACACTGTTGGTACGCAAGCTGCCGCAAATCTGCAGCAGAAGCTCAGGAACGCTTGTGTTTGCAGTAACATTTATTACAACAGGTGAAGCAGCTCTCAAAAGATGTTAGGTGACTCAGTATCATATTAAATATGTATTATACGACTTTTATTAAAGATTTTTATTAAAACAGTTTATATTAAAAAAAAAAAAAAAACATTAAAAGCAAGTAAATTACAAGCAAAAAGACAGTAGGTCAAAGCTGCCGAGGAGCGACTGTATTTTTTTTGGTTGGTTAGGGAGTGTGGGGGGAGTTGGGGGGAGTTGGGGGTCATATTACTGATAATCGCGATTTTTAACTAGAAAATATCGGGCTAAATATTTTAAGATATCGCCCAGGCCTATTTAACAGCTACAGTAAATTACTGCCAACATTTCAGTTTGTATGAGAACTGAATAAACACTGGATGCAGAAATAATGTCACTGATGCTGCAGTTAAATGTTCGTGCAGTACCTTTTAATTGCTTGATAAAACACCTGTAATTTGAGCAGATTAATTAGCATTTTAACAAGCCAATAAGAGATTAGTCTGCAGAACAATCCAAAGCCTTTCAACACAAGATCAGAACAGCCACGACAAACACAAGGAGAAGCAGCTTAATGTACAGAACCGGATCTCGGATCTCAGAAATACGCTTCAGCTGAGCTTCGGCCCAAAAACAAACAGGTCATCAGGTTCAACTCATCACCATCAAATCAAAGGAACATGAATCACAAACAGCCGAGTAACGAAGAGCGCTGTACCTTCACTGCCAAGGACAAGGGTTCTCTGTGTGATGCTGTAGAAGAACCCACTTTTGATTCCCTTCCTGTGGATTACTCTTCAGAGAACCACTTTTGTAAATGAGATGTGTAAGCATGAAGAACCTTTTTAAAGTTTAAAGAACCTCCACATCAAGCACGTTCCTGGAGGAACCCCTGAATTGGTAAAGAACCTTCTTTGAAGTTCTTTACATTCAGAAAAACAAAATTCTTGTTTGGTTCTTTGGGAAACCAAGAGTGGTTCTACTGCAGCGGAGATTTGACCTTGAATCCAGTTTCCACTCTGTGTCTCAACTGCCAGTGAGCACAAAATCCAGGACTGGAATCTGGAGTTAAGGTCCAGATTTGAGGACCTCTGTTCCATGTAATCACTCGAAGAACCCTTTTAACACCTTTCTGTTTTAAGAGTGTACTTTACCAAAAAACAAACCAGAACAAAACAAAACATGGAGGCTGAAATGAGGTGAAGCCCTCGTCCAGATCGTGGTCCATTTCTGCGCTCGGCTCGTATAAAAATAGAGGGAGATAAAGTCTTTGCGGTTTGATGACATTACATTCAAAATTAGTTGATTGTTTCTGCCTGAATAATAACAGCTTGTTTCTCGATGTTTCCGGTGCCGTCGCTGATACAGACGTCTGTACATTTGTATGTCGGTTTTCGGTTTGTTCTCCGCTCAGAGCGTTTCGGGAGGAGCACTCGTCAGCGCGGCTCAGACGGCTTGTTGAAGCTCCACCTTCACTCCCTTTTCTCCAGAACCTGAAGACCAAACAGAAGAACAGCGTTACTGAGAGAGCTTTCTCAGACGGGTCATCGCAGCTGGACTTTCTCAGTCTGAGCCGGTTCTCCAGGTCAGGAGCTCCATCAGAAGTGATGGTGTGGACGATCTGGACGTACGAGAGGAGAAATGAGTTGACCTTCAGATCTACTGCAGCGCCGGAGAGATCGGAGACCTTCTGACCTCATTGGGTCACTCAGCCACTTTAAACTCTTACTTTCTAGCCACCTCCACTATGCAACTGCAACTGCACTGCTGTCTTATTTTCATTATTTTAGTTATTTTTTCCCATTTATTTGTTTATTATTCATATTCTTATTCTTGCTGTCATGTTTTTTATAATTTGTCATTCTAATTAACTTTAGTTTCCTATTTTGATCTTATTCTCCTTTTGTTTATCTTCTTTAGATTTTATTAACTTTTACATTAGTGTTACACTTTAATTACTGTTTTTATTTTCTACTGTTTTTGTTATTGTTTCTTTTTTTTAATAAACTTGGCTGATTTGAGTGATTTTTATTATTAAATGTACTTTAATTATTTGATATGTTTTTACACATCATCAGTCCCCTTTTCCTGTATCACCTCAGCTACACTGTAAATCACCCTGAATGTTCTCTGAGATTAAATCAAGATTGATTGATTGATTTTAAAAACTTGTTTGTTTTTACTATTCAAAACCTTCACAAGTCCTGCAGTTTGAGACGGTCAGCGATGAAACTGGATGAGTGATTCAGGCAGCAGGCCAATGACAGAGCTGAGAGAGAGACAGCAAGCTGTGTGCACAGATCTGATAGGTCGATTTTCAGTTTGAATCTGCAGGTCAAACACAGTGAAGCGTCAGAATTTCACGCGCGAGACGAAATGCAGCTCAACCATGGTGCTTTTTAAAAAATCTACCATCTGTTCAACATATAGAAGATTTGTTTTTAAAGGCTGATTGTCTGTTTGCATGTAGCACCTCATTATCTAACACCAGCTAAAAGCAGAGCTGCGAAGAAGACAGCAGTAGTAGCCAGTTACTATCATGCTAACATTGGCAACGTAACAGTTTTTTTTAGAGCTAGCGTATTTATTTATTTATATTTATATATTTAAAGCGGCTATTAAATCAGCTGTTTATCACCTTAAGAACATCAGAGATCAGAAAGCAGAGCTGGAGAAACTCATCCACGCCTTTATTTCTAGCAGGATTGATCACTGTAATGGTCTTCATGAACTGAATTCAGAGCGTCAGATGAGGGGAAACGCCGATCTCTGCAGCTCTTCGGCCCAGAAGGTCCCCAGTTCAACAAACGTGCCTTAAATTATTACCAATAGTTACCAAAGTATTCTTATTCATATTTGTACATTCTCTGATTACTGGTTTAATTCAATAATTTAGGGTTTGCTGAACACACCTAAAGCCTTCATAATATTTATAATACTTACAATATTTAAAATATTTATAATGTGTCCATCCAGACGTCCACTCATTCTCTTTCCAGTTTCAGCTCAGCTGCCAGTTTGTAGTGAAATATTCTCCAGCTCTCACTGTGACATCAGCGTTTCTCACCAGATATTCATCCATTTTGCATTTTTGCGACGCAAAACACCACAAACAGGTCCGTTTAGCTCTGTCTGTGTTTGTGTGATTAAAGCGAGATTTAAGGTTTTGGGAGCTTTTTGTAGCTGAAACTGATCACGTTATACTCTTTCTGTATTATTTTCTAGTGCACAGTCACAATAAACCCAGAAATTCTGTAAAACGATCTTGTTAAAAAGGGGAACTCCAAAATTCCCCCCATAACTCAGTGTGTGAGATATAATCAGAGAGATTCAGAGTGGTTTGGTGTGAAATGGTTCAGATGTCTTTACAGTGGTGGTGATAGGAACCAGGGGTCGCCATGACTACAACACAGATATAGACATTTTATTTACTATCCAGAACCACCAGTGAACCTACACGAGTCTTCTGAGCTTATATGGAATGTTGATGATGGAAAATAGTGGAAAATCTGAAATAATAAGTTTTCCTTGGGGACTATTTTGCCTCACAGCACCCTGCATGTATCCCTCCACCATGAATGGAGTTTAAGTTCTCTAAACTATCATAAAACAGTGTCTCAGTCATCAGGCAGTGAATTCATAACCATTTCATGTAGGAACTTTCTGTGAGGGAGCTTTTAGAGGTGGACGTCTGGTTCCTATCACCACCACTGAGAACAGTTCTGACTCGGTAAGTTTATCTAGAACAGAGCATTTCACACCAAACCGCTCTGAACCGCTCTGAACCGCTCTGTTTACATCTTAACCGCTTAATTATGCAGTTAAACGAGACTGTACAAGTTGTGTAGTGAACATCCCTTTAAGGACATGAGCCAGCTCCACTTACCTGTCAGGTATTTCTCTTTAGCACGAGCTCGTTCATCAGCATCGAAATACCACACCGTTATAGCATACCTGCACAGAGGGCACAACACAAGCCTGACGAAGGGAAAAGTTGAGCACTTATAAAAACACATGGTTAGTAATGAGAACATCTGCCCACAGACTGAACCCCACATATATACAAACACTTGTTCTTAATACAACCCTGACAAATAATAACATTTACATTTCATAATTAATCTTAATTTTAAATGTGCTCATTTTTAAGTCAATATATCCCAGTTTTTGATTTGTGACAGTTTTACAAACAGGCTCTTTTTATGATGGATGTTGTAAATACGGCAGATACGGAGACAGATGAGCTGCTGAAACGTCACCTAAAAACGTTACGTTATGTTCAGGATCCCTTCAGACTTTTTTCTCTTTCATCTGAAAATGGTCAGAAGTGACACTTTTGGTTTTCAGTCAAAAATTAAAAATTTTGTGCATCCCTAATTTTTAGTGTCCAAAATGTGAAAATGTGCTCAGGCTCACTGGGCAACAGGAACTGTCCACCCCGCCTCTGTGTGTGTGTGTGTGATAACCTGGTGGAGTACGCCGGCTGAACCTCATGCGGGTTTCGTCTGTCCGACCAGAAAAAAAGCAATCGGTCAAATTTAGGCTCGATATCTGCAAACTGCGACTTTCCTTCAGGAAATATTCTCAGCAGTCCCCCATGTTCCTAAATACACACACACACACACAAACACACACACACACACACACACACACACACACACGAACATCAATTCCAAAACAGTTAGGACAGTCAATGAAATGCTAATAAGAACAGCAGTGATCTATAAATCCACTCTGATCTGTATTTAAAGGAGCAGTAAGTGATGGCAGCGTTACTTGAACTGTATACTGACTACTATTGCTGTGGGTAATCCAGCGCGTCTACACTGCCCCCTGGTGTTGTGAAGAGGCAATCGCTCTTGCCTCATATTTGTGAAGCATTTTTTTTTTTATTTTCAATACTGAACAGAAAATAAGATGCACAACGACAGCACAGCCACAAATAACACTCTCCCACCCAGACAGCCCCAGTCTGTATGTTTACAAAAAAAAATAAAACCATAATTTTAAGATATCTTGGTATATACATGTACAATACATGTACATACATAAATCTACACACATTTATTCATACACACAGACACACACACACACACACACACACACACATACATACATATTATATATATATATATATATATATATATATATATATATATATATATATATATATATACATACGTCGCTACTGTTGTAACAAAACCTCATATCTCCAAAAAGGTAACCTTACAGGAGAAGCAAAAAACTTACTTTACTTTTATTGTAAGTCAATAGAACCAGAATTTTATTCGCAGCAATTTTGGGCCGTTTCTTTTGGTCCATTCATCATGAAATTTAAACACAATGTAAAGAACAACAGGCATTTTCACATGTCAAAAACTAAAAAACGACAAAAATGGAGAAACAAGGTTTTGTTCCAACAGCAGCTTTATATATATATATATATATATATATATATAGAAAGACAGAGAGAGAGAGAGAGAAAGCAATAACAGAGATGTCTGTTATCCTATCCTAGCATTACAGTGTGAGTACTGCATATCAGGGGCTGCACGACTCATGTGATGAAAGTCAAATGTCATTAATAAAACCACAGGAGAAATTAATGCTCTGCAACAAGTGACTTTAAAAACCCGTGATCAAGCCAAACTCCACAGGTCACATGACGCGCCTTTTCCAACGAGCCCTGAATCGCATTGCTGGCCTTCAGGGAGCCGGAGATACAGATCCTGGAATCTCGAACATTTGTATCCGACTTAGGCGCACCTTGTCGGCCTTGCTGAGATGCTCGGCTGCAGCAGAGAGCCAGAGAAATTTAGAGTGCTGTAACGGTAACTGACTTCACAGGATTACAGGGTGTTATGCTCCCTCTACAACCACACAGGACTTTTACTGGAATCATCGGGAAACCAGAGACAAAGACATTCAACATCTGATCTTTGAAGCTCCTTAGATCAGCAGAGAAATGAGAGAGAATTATAGAACCATATACAGCACATTCTCCATCTATCTGAAGAATCCTTTCACAATGCAAAGAACCTTTTGGTGCTCTAAAAAAACATTTTAGTGCTTTAAAGAACAATTCTGACTTCAAATCATTCGCAATCCGAAGATCCAACTAACGCCAACCAATCAGCGCTCAGTAGCAGTAACGCCAACCAATCTACACTCAGTAGCAGTAACGGCAACCAATCAGCACTCAGTAGCAGTAACGCTGACCAATCTACACTCAGTAGCAGTAACGGCAACCAATCAGCACTCAGTAGCAGTAACGGCAACCAATCTACACTCAGTAGCAGTAACGCTGACCAATCTACACTCAGTAGCAGTAACGCTGACCAATCTACACTCAGTAGCAGTAACGCTAACCAATCTACACTCAGTAGCAGTAACGCTAACCAATCTACACTCAGTAGCAGTAACGCTAACCAATCAGCACTTAGTAGCGGTAACGCTGACCAATCTACACTCAGTAGCGGTAACGCTAACCAATCAATGCTCAGTAGCAGTAACGCTAACCAATCTGCACTTAGTAGCGGTAACGCTGACCAATTAGCGCTCAGTAGCAATAACGCTGACCAATCTACACTCAGTAGCAGTAACGCTGACCAATCTGCACTTAGTAGCGGTAACGCTGACCAATCAGCGCTCAGTAGTAGTAACGCTGACCAATCAGCGCTCAGTAGCAGTGCCAACTAATCAGCGCTCAGTAGCAGTAACGCCAACCAATCAGCGCTCAGTAGCAGTAACGCCAACCAATCTGCACTCAGTAGCAGTAACGCTAACCAATCAATGCTCAGTAGCAGTAACGCTGACCAATCAGCGCTCAGTAGTAGTAACGGTGACCAATCAGCGCTCAGTAGCAGTGCCAACTAATCAGCGCTCAGTAGCAGTAACGCCAACCAATCAGCGCTCAGTAGCAGTAATGCTGACCAATCAGCCCTCAGTAGCAGTAATGCTAACCAATCAGCACTCAGCAGCAGTAATGCTGACCAATCAGCACTCAGTAGCAGTAAAGCTAACCAATCAGCACTCAGTAGCAGTAACGCTGACCAATCAGCGCTCAGTAGCAGTAATGCCAACCAATCAGTGCTCAGTAGCAGTAATGCTAACCAATCAGCCCTCAGTAGCAGTAATGCTGACCAATCAGCCTTCAGTAGCAGTAATGCTGACCAATCAGCACTCAGTAGCAGTAATGCTGACCAATCAGCCCTCAGTAGCACTAAAGCTAACCAATCAGCACTCAGTAGCAGTAAAGCTAACCAATCAGCGCTCAGTAGCAGTAATGCTGACAAATCAGCACTCAGTAGCAGTAAAGCTAACCAATCAGCACTCAGTAGCAGTAACGGCAACCAATCAGCACTCAGTAGCAGTAAAGCTAACCAATCAGCACTCAGTAGCAGTAAAGCTAACCAATCAGCACTCAGTAGCAGTAAAGCTAACCAATCAGCGCTCAGTAGCAGTAATGCTGACAAATCAGCACTCAGTAGCAGTAAAGCTAACCAATCAGCACTCAGTAGCAGTAACGGCAACCAATCAGCACTCAGTAGCAGTAAAGCTAACCAATCAGCACTCAGTAGCAGTAACGGCAACCAATCAGCACTCAGTAGCAGTAAAGCTAACCAATCAGCACTCAGTAGCAGTAAAGCTAACCAATCAGCACTCAGTAGCAGTAAAGCTAACCAATCAGCGCTCAGTAGCAGTAATGCTGACAAATCAGCACTCAGTAGCAGTAAAGCTAACCAATCAGCACTCAGTAGCAGTAACGGCAACCAATCAGCACTCAGTAGCAGTAAAGCTAACCAATCAGCGCTCAGTAGCAGTATTAACTGCCTCACCCTACAAGCATCTAAAAAACTTATAGTAACTACCAAGCAGCACTCTAACAATCGCCTTGCATACCTTAGCAACCGCTTAGCAACATCCTAGCAACATCAAACAGTGGCTCCACCCCATCAGTGTTTGTAAATTTGTTTAATATTATTAAAATTACCATAACAAAAGCTTAAACACACAGAACAGTGGATGAAGGTCGAAGGTTAATTGGCGGGCCGCTGTAAACGAGTCTGCATTCAGATCATTAACCTACCTTTGCATCCCAATTCTTATTAAGATAATATATACATGTGACACATCTCCCATCACTGTTAGGGTTGTCCACATGGCGCACATATCCTGTTCCGTTACCGGGGTAACAAGCCACCATAGCCTGCAAATCAAGGAACATAGTCAGTTACTGTGGAAGAAGAAGTCTCATTTCTCATCTTCAATTCAGTGATTTATTAATAAACACAGTGAGACCTGTTTACAGACGAGGCCTCGTCCACACGTTCACGGGCGTTTTTAAACAGCTTTTCTGTGCTGGTATCTGCTTTGTTTACAGGAGGCGGTTGTGTGCAGCGGGGGACGCAGCCAAAACAGAGCTGGGTTTAACTTTGCTAACAGGACCTGTTACATGTTTACATATAAACGTACAGTAATTCTTACACTGTACTGAAGAATCGAGGCGTCTGAATGAGCTACAGAGGCCACAGCTATACCCAGCACTCCCACTACAACAGACCCACCCGCCCCACACCGCCGGTTTTGGATGAGACCCGGTCAGACCTCTTATTTTTTCACTGGTTAAAATAACTTTGGACAAATTTGAAAACGAAGTGATTTTTGCAGAACAGCAAGAAAACAAGGACGTTTGTCGAGGACGGAGTCGCGGCTGCTGAATTACGTTTTCATGCAGACAGAGATTTTTTTTTTACATGAAGGAGTAAAAGTCGCGTTTTAAACACACCCGTGTACATGTGGACCAGGCCCTGAAAAGAAAGTTTGTGAACATGAACGTTGGCTGTACTTCCAAGTGGGCAGCGCGTCCAGTCAGTGGTGACGTTTTTAAGCAGAGGCGAATACAAAACAGAACAGACTGAACTAAAATATGGAAAATTATAGAAAAACATTGTTGTGTTTATTATACAAGACATTCTGCATCAATCTGAAGAACCATTTCACCAGGCAAAGAACCATTTAAGCATGCAAATGGTTCTTTGAGTGTTCATGATTCTATATAGCACTAAAAAATGTTCCTTCTATTATTACAATGTCAAGCTCATTACAATAACAATAACCCCTTTGGTGCTGTATAGAACCATTTTCAAAAAAGGTTCAGTGTAGAACTGTATACAGCACATTCTGCATCAATCTGAAGAAGCATTTGACCGTGCAAAGAACCATTTTCAACAGAACCGTGGAAGAGAGTAGGGCTGGGCAACATAATACTTATTGTAATAAATGACTTCACAGTAAGCTTGTCTGAGCATATCGTGGATATCGTCAGTACCTAAAATCATATCCAAACTGCCTGTTTGATTACAAAGAGCTTAATTACTCCTGTAATTGGGTTTAGTGCATCGCAGGATATGTTGAGTAGAAATCATTGTTTTCATAGTTTTGTCTTTTCCAAAATATGTATGGTAACATAGTGTGTATTGTAAATGTATTACTTTGCTGCCCAGCTCTAGTTGTCACTACTAACTGTCACTGCACTGAATGTCATATAATTAACAGAGCTGATAGCATTCCGATGATGACACAGCGTCCATGATTTCCAAAAAGAATTTCACATTTTGATATACTGGACAACAGGACACTTTTCCACTTCACCTTACATGAGCTCCGGCCCAGAGAAGGCGGCGGCGTTTCTGGATCCTGTTTATATTTGGTTTCTTCTTTGCATTTTAGAGTTTTAACTCTCATTTGTGGATGCAGTGATGAACTGTTTTCACAGACAGTGGTTTTCAGAAGTGTTTCTGAGCCCATGCAGTGATTTCCACTACAGAATCATGTCTGTTTTTAATGCAGTGCTGCCTGAGGGCCCAAAGATCACGGCCAGCAAATACTGGTTTTTGGCCTTGTTCCTTACATACAGAGATTTCTCCAGATTCTCTGAGTCTTTTAATGTTATTATGTACCGTAGATGATGAAAAGCAGAAGTTCTTTGTTGTTTTATGTTGAGAAACGTTATTCTTGAATTGTTGCACTATTTGATGGTGCAGTCTTTCACAGAGTGGTGAACCCCTCCTCATCTTTACTTCTGAAAGACTCCGCCTCTCTGAGATGCTCTTTTATACCCAATCATGTTACTGACCTGTTGCCAAATAACCACCAGGGTTTTTTAGCATTACACAACTTTACCAGCCTTTTGTTGCTCCCAGCCCAACTTTTTTGAAACGCGTTGTCAACAACAAATTCAAAATGCGCAGATATTAAAAAAAAACACAAATTTCTCAGTTTCAACATCTGATATGTTGTATTTATACTACTGTCAATTAAACATATGGTTTAAATGATTTGCATAGCACTGCATTCTGCTGCGTTCCAACCTTTTTGGAAACAGGGCTGTATACTAACAGCTACTTCATTTTAAGTAGGTCACTCAGTGCAGTATCGTACTCCGTATTGGCGAGTACTAAAAATGTGAACTTTTACTAAGTCTGATGGTATGCAAATGATGCATCCCTAATTAGTATCATTATTTTTAGGGGGTGATGAAGGTTTTTAATCCACTCCAAACTGCTTCATAGCAGAGCACAGGCTAAACTCTGTTAAAGCCACATCAGTCCGAATAAATTCCCTTCAGCTTTCCTGCACGTTTGAACTGACGAATTGAGAAGTGATCTAGAAATAGTGCAGAATCTCGAATATTTCATCTTCATTTTAATTCATATAAATTTTTTTTGTTTTAAAATCTATAAAATTCTAAAGCTTTGTTGTTTATTTGCAGGATTAAACAAAAACAGTCTTAGATGTTCTGAGTCTCAGACTTTGAGCTCTCTGTATAACAGTCAATAATAACAGTCAATTACTGATGAAATCTAAACTAATTGATGGTAACTTTTTTTAAGCTAACGCCTTCTGACACCCATATGATTCTGACACCACTGAGCACGTGCACTTTATTTTTAGTAGTCTGTCAAGTGAACCTGATCGCCTACAGCGCCCTCATGTGTACAAAAACTCCCTGATCAAACAGGAACTGCTGTTTATTGTAAATGAAATGCTTTATCTGATTGCTCTGTTTGAACAATCGTTTATTTGTGAGTTAATGGTTAATCGGCCGATCATTTACATTCCTGATCGTGAAACATCTGCTTTCTGCGCTCCTGCTTTAGCTCGAGTAGCGAGAATCATTCCACACATTCCAGGAAGTCCAAAGGGTTTGGTGGTGGTGGTGGTGGTGGTGGTGGTGGTGGGGGCTGAAACAAAGACTAGTATGTGTTTCCTGCACATTAAAACAGTTTATAATGCATTGATTTACCTTCAGGGAGCAGAAAAACAACAGCACAACACGGAGAACATGGACCCCGCACACAGGAGCCCTGTGGTCAGGACAGAGGAGAACACGGAGAACGTGAACAAATATAAACTCAACTTCTGTCTGCTGGACGGCTGCCAGAGGAAGCTGTGCTTTAATGATCTGAGTACGTGCAGCACGTGAGGGACGACTGAAGGCACCACCGTCCATCTGAACTCAGGGGCGCGGGGGGTGGAAGGGGGGAGTAAACAACTTTTTAAGAAAATATGTGTCTTTAAAAAACAGAAGGTGGTGATGAGTGGAAAACAATCCTTCCTCTACAACTCAAACAAAACGCAGCTGATTTTAAACAGATTCAGATTTAAAATAGATTTTAAAGCTCTGCTGCTGTTTTTAAAGCTCTAAATGACCTTAAAGCTCCTGACCATCCCTCTGTTTATGATCTCAGATCTGCAGATTCTGACCTTCTGAACTCCTTCAGTAAAACACAGAAAACGTGGAGAGACTCTTTCAGTTATTCTGCTTCTAAACTGTGGAGCTCAGTTCAGCTTTTATTAGACAGTCGAGCTCAGAGCTCACTTTTAATAAACACCTGAAAACGCAGCTCTTTAACTCAGAGCTTCAGTAAAACTCTACGGCTCTTTAACTCAGAGCTTCAGTAAAACTCTACGGCTCTTTGGTCTTCATCTCTTTAATCTGATCTGAGTTATTATGTGATTTTAAATTAAAACTAATGGTTTGTTCTATTGCCATTCACCTTTATCTCCTGTCTGGCATGAAGAGAGCTCTGTAAATAAAAATTGTATTATTATTATTATTATTATTATTATTATTATTGCTGCAATAAGATCTTCCCTAAGCGTAACTCTACTAATAGTAATGAGCACATTATTTGTTTATTTATAGGATGCACCTTACCCCAGTCCGTCTGCGGAATAAATTTCCTAAAACGTGTTCTTAGTATTGTTGCTGTGTGGAGGAAGGTTCTGTTATGCATGTGTTCTGGTCTTTATGCAGCATTTCTCAAAAAGGACTCATCTTCACACACAATCAGTGACTGACATACAATGATCTAATTATCTTCTACACTCTGCAGACGAATCTTTAGACAGGAGTATTAACTGTCTTTTACATCTTCTAATTCACTTCGCTAAAAAATGCATCGTTAGTGTGGTCAAACATTCCTCCCACTGAGATGTGGTCAGATCAGATCTCCAAGTCACCTTCACATTTAAATCTGTGTTATTTCGTATTTTCTCATTTGTAAAGCACTTTTAATGACCACAGTTTATGAAAGGTGCTTTATAGCCCCAGTCCCATTTCTTATTTTGACCTCTACCCCTTGTTTTCGAGTGTTGCCCCTTAGGAACTGAGTTACAGGGTAGTGGTTGAGATCTTCCCTCTGAAATGGGACCCTCAAATAAAAAGAGCATCACTTCATTAACAGCTACCAGCGCTGCTCTGTAGGCGACCCTGCCAGTCTGCAGTGACAGCAGAGGAGGGTAAAGTTCAGCTCCTCACTGCTGGGCTTTAGTTACATTTAGGGCATCATATGCCTTCAAAGTGGGGGGGGGGGGTCAACTGTCCAGCGTCAGGGCCGAATGTGAGTGTCGGGAATGATGAAGTGCAGTGTGACATAATCAGCATGCCAGAATTTTCTGTTTTCCTGTCTCGTTCAACGTCTCCTACGACGCGTTACTAGACGTTAATCAACAGACTGACAGAGCGCTGCGTGGAGCACAAACGTAAACATGGTGAAAAGAAAGAGCGACGCTGCTGCTGCAGATTTAAAGGGAAACTCCATCGATTTTGCAAAATTAATTAATCATTTAATGGTTTAGATGTAAACAAAATCACTCAGAGTAGTTTGGTGTGAAATTTACAGTCAAAATTGTTCACCGTTG